CATTTTTCCACATAAATTTCGGTCCACGAGTCAAATGTTCGAATCCCTCTTCAATAAAGGTATATTGTTGCAACGTTTTTCGTTGCATTCAAATTGTCTCATTTCTCAATATGATTTATAGACCAATTGAGCTCAAGATTTCAAAAATGTATGATTTTTCTCCAACTCAACTCAACTGCCTTTTTGTTTCCTCAAAAACACCCAAAAATACATTTTGTTGGTTTCCAAAAACAATTATTATTATTGTGCTTTTTGGTTATTTCATCCAGTCATGTATATAAATGTTGCAATTTTGTCGGTGCCTGCTTGATACCACGTCAATCATGAGAGAGGTATAAAATGATCAAAAATGTATTAGGCGTTGTCCTCCTGCTCCTCCTCAATAAAAAAGTAACTCGCCGTTTTCATTTCATTTTCGTTTCTTCTCGAGTCTTTTTTCTTCATCCATTTTTTCTTCTAGTTCTTCTTCTTCTTCTTCTTTTTTGGATAGAGTCGCAATGTTGTCATCCCAATTCTTTTTTCATTTGGAGATGTATCCATACACACTTTTTTATGAACTTTTTTCAATATTTTTTGAACCTTCATTCTTTTTATGGGCCCCCTTTTTTTGCATCGAACATCAACAATAGAATGAAACATTTTCGAATTTCCGGAAATTGTCAATTTAGGACATTTTGTGTGGATATTCCAAAAATAAACGGCTATCTGTATAGTTTGTTTACATACGTGCAAATTTAATTAGATTTTCTCGATATCTTGAATTTTTTCAAATTTTAATTTCATCGCTGTTTCCTTGAAAAAAAATAAAGGAGAAGTTTCAAAGACCACAATGACTGTTGTTTTTCAAACTTTTACGGTGGCATATCACGATATTTTTCAAGAATTTCATGATAAATCTTTATAAAAAGTGGTGGGTTTTCCAGAGAAAATGAATCAAAACTTGCGTGACCAAATTGGTTATAAAGATTCGAAGCTCTGTAATTTTTAGTTTCAGATGTTTTTCAGAATTCAAATTTCCACTCTCTTAAAAGTAGTGGACATTACAGTACACCTTTATATCATATATCAGTTTTTTTTTCCTTGAAATTTAGAGATTACTGTAGTTCCAGAAAAAAACAAATCAAACACCCACCTTTTTTGTGCGTGTTCCACTCACAAATAAATGTCCTTTGCCCAAATTTTTCCGAATATTTTATATAAATATATTTGGTTTTTTTTGATACCGGAAACGTATTCAATTTGTTTTTCTTCTCATTTTTCTCTTCATTGACAGATCAAAAAATTTACGATAAATACTGGCACGCAATAATATTTTCGACCTAACTTTTTCATATATAAAAAATATATAAAATTTCTGTCCTAGGCGAGAAAAAAAGATGATGGAATTTTTTGCCAGCCAAGACAAGTATTTTCTTCCTCCTACATGTAATATAAAACCTATGGATATTTTTAGACACCTTACTTATTTAAGATTTTATAATTATTTTTCGAATATTTCGCACACTGAGTCCTCGTGTTTACCCGATCGTGAAATAATTCTTTTTTTGTTGCCTTACATGGAATGGTTCCCAAAATTACCCCTGGAAAAAAGGTGTTACTATGCGGAAGTTGTAGGTCCTGGTGGATTATGAAAAAGCCCAAAGGGGTTTTGTATACAAAAATTTCTAACAGAAGTTTCTGGGGGTCGAAATATTTGGGACCCAAAAATATTTTTTCAACTTCAAAAAATCGTAACTTGGTTCAAACTCAACTATTTTAGTCGGTCAAAAACGCATTCTGGAGCTAAAATAATGATAAATAATAAAAAATTAACTCTACTAACATATATTTTGATTTTCGACTCGAAAGTGACCAAAAATTGAGGTGACCTCGAAAAAATTTTCAAGTTCGGCACGATGGGGCAAAAAATCAGAAAGTCTAGTGTGGTTTTTCGAACTCCTCGCACAAAGTTACGTATATGGACATATTAAAATCATATGGTCCCGCATCTCCGAGAGGCACTTTATCATCTATTTTGTGTTTTTTCTCTCAAAAAAAGCGCGTTTTATCTAGGAGAACTTATTGGTTAAGTGTCTAATGTTTGAGTGATTGATCACAAGGGCACATGTTCGACCCCCAGTGCAAACTTTTTATTTTTATTTTTTTTAAATAAAATTATTTTCTTTTTTAAAATTATGTTAGGGTCGAAAAACGACACGAATAACATTTGTTTGAGATAGCTGGCCCTCTCCATCGTTTTGCATAATCAAAATCAAAAATCGAAACTGTATTTCAAAAAACTCGGGCCGATTTTTTTTTGAAAAAACTCGGGCTGATTTTTTTCTGGAAAAAACTCGGGCCGATTTTTTTGGAAAAACTCGGGCCGATTTTTTTCACCCAACAAAAAAAATCGGCCCGCGTTTTTCCGAAAAACATCGGCCCGAGTTTTTCAAAAAAAAATCGGCCCGAGTTTTTTCAAAAAAAAATCGGCCCGAGTTTTTTTGTTGGGTGAAAAAACTCGGCCCGAGTTTTTCCAAAAAAATCAGCCCGAGTTTTTCCGAAAAAACATCGGCCGAGTTTTTCCAACAAAAAATCGGGCGGAGTTTTTTCAAAAAAAAATCGGCCCGAGTTTTTCCAAAAAAAAATCGGCCCGAGTTTTTCAAAAAAAAATCGGCCCGAGTTTTTCCAAAAAAATCGGCCCGAGTTTTTTCCAGAAAAAAATCAGCCCGAGTTTTTTCAAAAAAAAAATCGGCCCGAGTTTTTTGAAATACAGTTTCGATTTTTGATTTTAATTATGCAAAACGATGGAGAGGGCCAGCTATCTCAAACAAATGTTATTCGTGTCGTTTTTCGACCCTAACATAATTTTAAAAAAGAAATTAATTTTATTTAAAAAAAATAAAAATACAAAGTTTGCACTGGGGGTAGAACATGTGCCCTTGTGATCAATCACTCAAACATTAGACACTTAACTAATAAGTTCTCCTAGATAAAACGCGCTTTTTTTGAGAGAAAAAACACAAAATAGATGATAAAGTGCCTCTCGGAGATGCGGGACCATATGATTTTAATATGTCCATATACGTAACTTTGTGCGAGGAGTTCGAAAAACCACACTAGACTTTCTGATTTTTGCCCCATCGTGCCGAACTTGAAAATTTTTTTTCGAGGTCACCTCAATTTTTGGTCACTTTCGAGTCGAAAATCAAAATTTATGTTAGTAGAGTTAATTTTTTATTATTTATCATTATTTTAGCTCCAGAATGCATTTTTGACCGACTAAAATAGTTGAGTTTGAACCAAGTTACGATTTTTTGAAGTTGAAATAATATTTTTGGGTCCCAAATATTTCGACCCCCAGAAACTTCTGTTAGAAATTTTTGTATACAAAACCCCTTTGGGCTTTTTCATAACCCACCAGGACCTACAACTTCCGCATAGTAACACTTTTTTTCCAGGGGTAATTTTGGGAACCATTCCATGTTAGCCATCCCATTTCTTCTCAATTCCTTTTTTATTTCAGTTTTCCCCTCTCATTTTTGTTAAATTTTTTCACCATACATTCATTAATTATTCATTTTGTTGGGTTGGGTTAGAAAAAGCTCAAAAGGTACAACTTTTTTCCGGTTCTTGTTCTTTTTCTTTTTTGCGTTGATGTTTTTCTTCTTATGAAGAGAGCAAATCTTGTGCTAACATTTTCAATGTTATTTTTTTCATAAAAGTTCATAAAAACGTATTTGGTTATGATCATTAGGCATATCCTAAAAGGTCGTTTAGGTTACTGTAACTTGTGACAAAAATATTTTTCAATCTTATTTTTTGAGGTAAATAAATAACTAACTAGCTATTATTATTCAATTTGTAGATTTATTAGGTTGTTTTTGACTTTTCAACATTTTTTTGAATTATTTTTTATTTTTTTGTTTTCGAGTACTGTAATTAGTTACAGAGGCAACAATTTGGTTTTCTGATTTTAGAGGGTTGTTTAGGAGAGTCGATTTAATGAACCCACAACATTTCACCTATTTTTCTTTAAAAATGCCAGCTTTTCCATGTCATAACCATATTTCGGATGAGTTCTGTATTCTAGGATTTTTTTATCTCTTGAAGTGTTTGTCTAACTTTACTCAAAAAGTTCATTCTTTTTTATCCGTGCCCTTCCTTTCTGAAAATCAAGAAAGAATACGGAAAACAAGTAGAATAAGAAAGCAAAAACAAATAAAACTCCCAAGAAAATAGATGTATCAAAGGAACATCCCATTATCGCTTGCAAATTGTTTTAATGCATAATTCATCTGGCAAAAAAATCCGTTTTTCCTTGTGTTGTTAGTTTTTCTCTATTTTTTGCAGTTTGCCCTCTATTTTTCTATGGCTGTAAAAGCTTTTTATTGAACTTTTTGAATCCATTTCATTTGATGTTCCATATGGTTTTTTTATTTATCCGCAACATTTTGTTCGCTAAAAATAGAACTTCATCCTACGTAGATCTATATAAAAGTCATTATAGGTCAGTTTTGCAACAAAAAAACTATTTTTATATAAATATCAAGCGAAATTAAATGAGTTGATGGAAAGCGAATAATTATCGTTTGTTGCTTTCTAGTTTGATCGAAACGTTTTTCAATTATTTTTTGCCCTAACAAGCTCTCAGTTTGAAAAAAAAACTGGGTGATGAAATATATTTTTCTAAAAAAAAATTTGTTCAAAATCCACATTAAATTTCTAATAAAAAATCCATCAAGAACTATGATCGCCAAATTTCTAATGAAAAAATCCAAACTCGGCATTTTTATTAAAATATCTTCCATTTTCCTTCTCTCAATGATGTCAACATCCAGTAAACAATCTGAAATCTGCAAAGAATGCATATATATTTTATTTTAATTAGAGAAATTGCACTTTTCTTATTTTTTCCGTTTGTTTTGTGCAATTTTATGTATTACTATTCTTTCATTCTCCTTTGTTTATTTATTTATTTATTTTTTCCTCACTCAATTGTTTTTCTTTTTTTCAGTTATCAGATGAACGATGTTAATTGGCCATTATTGGCTTTGTTCATCGTTTTAATACTTTTGGCACTTTTTGGAAATCTTCTAGTTTGCGCAGCTATTCTATGGGATCGATCACTTCGAAAACAACCAGAAAATCTATTTTTGGTATCATTGGCAGTGTCAGATCTTCTTGTCTCAATTTTGGTGAGTTGTTTTATTTTTATTTTGATTCCAGAAAAAAAAGACCGAAGTTTTGAGCAAAATGAGATGAGATGAGAAAAGAAAACAAAACAAAAGCTGGAAAATATTGTTTTCCGTAAGACTCACTCACTCACTCACTCAAATCCAAATCTAATTTTGACTATGTGTATCTATTGTGCGTGTGTTTCTTTTTCCAGCGCCTTTTCTAGGGATTTTCCTTATTCATTTATTTAGTTGTTCTTACATTAGATTCAACTAAAGATCAAGTTTTTAATCTCATGACTTTTTGAGAAAAAAAGAAGTACTTTTAAAATAAACGAGAAGGAGATGAAAAATGCAACATTGCTTGGATATTAACTTTTCCTCGAAAAAATTTAGGACGAATGGATTCTCGAAATTAAGAAAACACACAAAATCTATTAAAATTATTATTTCTCGACAAAAAAGCTGTTTTCCCTCAACATAAAACAATCATCAATTTTTTCTAGGTTATGATATTTGCTGCAGCAAATGATATTCTTGGGTATTGGCCATTTCGAGAATTTTATTGTCGATTTTGGATAAGTTTTGATATAACATGTTGCACAGCAAGTATTCTGAATCTCTGTGCAATTTCACTTGATCGGTATTGGCATATCAGTCGACCAATGGTTTATATAAGATATTGTAATCGGAGAAGAATCAACTATGTGATTATAATTGTTTGGTTGATATCTGCAGCTATTGGAGCTGCTCCGCTTGGTTTTGGATATGCACAATTTATTGATAAATCGTGAGTTTCATTATTTTTCCAGATTTAATTAAATCGGAATGTTGCTCAACAAAAATTTAATTTTGTTTTATTACGATTCTGACACAAGGTTTTAAAAATAGAACTTTTTTGATTTCTTTTTTGGGTAAAGTTCATTCTTCAAAATGAATACGAAATTGAATTTCCAACTTCTTTCAAAATATGTTCAGTTTCATGAATAAGGAAAGAGAAAAGAGGGAAACCGAGGAACAAATCAAGAGTTCAAGTTTTTGAATTCAGCAAAATTGGTTTTCGAATTCCAACTGTGAGATTTTGTTTGTCTGAAAATAGGAAACAGACAATAACAATATATATTAAAAATTTTGAGTTTTTGTAGAACTCTGATCAGAAATCAAAAAACTTTCAGCTCAAACTCGACATCAAGTGATTATCCAATGTGTGCTATGGCTTTATCAATGCCATACGCAATCACAAGTTCTTTCCTCTCATTCTTCTTACCCGCTGCAGTAATGGTTATCCTTTATACAAAACTATATTTATACGCTCGCAAACATGTTCGAAGTATCAAAACGCAACTTCAACAAGCCACATCATTTTTAATAATGCAATTAGCTTCTGAAAAGATTCGAGAGGTATGTTGAATTAATATTTGTCCAAAGTCCTTGTCTTTTCAACTTTCTTTTGGGTACACGTTTCTTACCCCCTTACAATTTTGTTTCAAGTTTTTTTCGGAATAATTTGGAATGCCACATTTTTCGGTCATGCCTTTTATTTTCAATTTTTTTTTTTGTTGATTTGTTCGAAAAAAGGGGGTAAAGAATTTCGATCAGAAAACGAAAAAGAAACAAAAAAAAAGAAATTTGTCCGAGTCTTGAAATGCTTTTTCTAACAAACACGTTCGATTCAAGCAGTATTGTAATAATAGGAAAATGTAATGTGTTGGTAAATGCCTAAACGCCTAATCAACCCTTTTGTATTTCATATACTTGAAAAAATTCAAAAATAAATTTCGAGAAAGAAATTCAACAAAAAAAACCATAAAAAAGTAGTGATATATGTTACCTACCCTGCATGCCTGTTCGCATGGCTGTTCTATTGTGCTTCCATCAGGTAACGGCCGCTACTCTGAAGGGTGAAGCACTCCTCGCGCCGGATTCGCCATCAACTGAGCGCACTGCGATGGCATCGTCGACGCGCACACCTGCCGTACGTCTACACGGTGGATCGAGACGCTCAACAACAACGACGACAGTCACGTTAAGCACACCGAAACGTGAGAATTATGGATTGACGACTACAACAACGTCATCATGTATGCCACCGCTGAATAAGGTTGAATCTGTGAGTTGTGCATATTTAAATCCCACTTCTTCTTCTCCTCTTATTCCTTTGGAAGTTTTTTTTTTGATTTCTTCCCTATTGGACTTCTACTTTCAAAATTATCTAACTTTTTTTGATTGACTTTTCTCATGCTTTTTGCTCTTCAATTTACTTTTTGAAAATTGATATAGGATGACAGAATATCTGCCTCAAACTGTTAACAAATCCTAATTAAGTAAGTATTTTGTGAATTAGGTTTTCATTAAGGTCCTTTTTTATTTACAACTTTTTATCAAAATACTTTTTTAACGATGATTTTAATTAATTTGAAATCAAAGTAACTATTAATTTCATATTATAGTGTTCTAGTTATTAGTCTAAATTACTGTATTTCCATCGTCATTCTCTATAGAAAGTTGTAACTTTTTTGTATTATTAAGCAGGAAAAAATACCTATATATTACATTATATTTTAAAAATTGGTTGCAGTGATGTGTGTTGATTGATTTTCGAATTTTCCTGTTGTTCCATTCCCTAGTAGATTCAAAAAAAACATTTTCTCAAAAAAAAAACACAAATTTTCACAAGTAACATCACAAAACTCTTTCCAGCTTTTTTGCATTTTTACTAATATTTCTTGAAGCTTTGGCTATATTTTTTGTTGGGTTTTTGCTGGGAAATTGATTGATTATTCAGCAGAAACACGCTTATTGCATGCTATGATTTATTCGTCGCATTTTCATTTCGGAACTATTTTTCAGATAAGAACATCGATTTTTTCAAAACTCAGTTTCTTGTGTCCCGCAAGGTTCAAGAGTAGGGGATCAGCACAAGATCAACATACACCATCAACGCAGAATCGTTCGAATATCAGCGATCAGAAAGCAAGGTAATTTAGGTTTTAAAAATTTCGGGAAAAACTTTATTTTTTTTCAGATTGACACTTGGTGTAATCATGGGAACATTCCTGTTATGTTGGACCCCATTTTTCATCATAAATATTCTTCGACCATGTCTAGGAAATATCAGCCCATCAATTTATTCGGTTAGTTTTTCCATAACATATCCTCAAAATCATCTAACATTTCTAGGCTGTGACTTGGTTGGGATATGCAAATTCATCTGCAAATCCATTGATTTATAGTATATTCAATCGTGATTTCCGGCGAGCTTTCAAGAAAATCATCATTAATATATTTGGATGTTGTTGGGAAGAACCAGATCTCAATAAATCAATGTAAGTTGAACGTAGAGAGTAGTGAATTTGAACTATATTCTAGATCTTCAAGATTTGCACCTCCGGAAATTGAACGTCGTCGAAGTTGCACAAAATCATCTGAATCAAATAATGATAACAATAATATTGAACATGGAAATGCAACAAGACTAACACTTTTGGCGAATAATAATGAGGAGGTCATTGTTGAGGAAAACTAATTTTTTCATTACACGGGTTACTTTTTTTCGTGTTAATAATATTTTTATCCATCCATCTAATCATTCATCCCCATATTTCATAATGATTCTCAAAACGTTTGCATGTTCTCATCTATTTCGAGACGAGTAGTTCCATCATTTTTAGAAATATTTTTCAATCGATTTCGATTTTTTAACAATTTGATTCATTTTTTCTTGAATATACGAGTATGTATTTCTATTTTTCATTTTTATTTTGCTGATTCGCGATGTTGATCATTTTTTGATAATAAACTGGTTCCGCTTTTGAAGTAATGCATTTTGATAATTTCAGATATACGACGATAAGGTTTTTCTCACATGATGAATCTTTGAATGTTAAAAATGTAGGTTGACATCCATATAAATGTAATAAACAAGTTCTTCCGTGGGAAACTCAAACCCACGAAGCCCTATGATTCAGAAAAATTTCTACGGAACTTGACTTCATTATAGTTAGTGTAAGGTGAAATACTCATTCCAATTTACATAAAAACTATGAAACCAAAACTTTTCTGGGAAACTAATTTTTTTTTGGAGTGAATTGTTTTTTTAGTTCATTACTGACCCTTCAATCTTTATTTTCTCAACCTGTAGTTTTGACCCGAAATGTGGGTTCAAAATCGTTGTTTTCTTCAATTTCGATTCTTCTTCCCAAAACTCATTTTTTCACACTTGAACACGGCAAACAAAAAAAAAATAAAACATATGACATCTGTTATTTTCAACACTTTTTCTTCCCAAAAACCTAGAAAGTGACAAGATCAACAAGAGATGGTCAACAAAACTCCGCCCCTTTTGATATACATAAATACCGCTCGATGAGTCAAATGAATCATTCAGTTTTCAGAATCTTAACAAAAAAATCTGGCTCAACCATCAACTCTGAAAATTTTTCAGATATTACCCAAAAATAACAATGTGGTATATTGAGAATGTTCAGAATTGATGGTTTTGAGCTAGCTATTATCCATTATTCAAATTTTCTTGGCTCAGGTTGCTTTTTCAATTATTTATGTTAAATCAAATATGGTGGTTTTGAATCCTTTTGTTCTTGCTCGGTTACCCTCTCGAGACATTTACTGTCAATACCTGGTTTATGAATTGGTATGACGTGAACGTCTAGAGGAGGTAATCTTTTGAGCCTGCCTTTTCAAATACCATTTCTGATTTCTTTTTAGGTATTACAGATTAAAAACTTCATTAGGGATCAGATAAATTAGGTTTTGAATTCATCTACAGTTTATGGTACCTTTTCAATTTATACCCGGATTGAAAGAGGTATATTGATCAAGTGTCAAAAATTGCAGTTATTGAATATTTTTTGAGGAAAATTGATTACATTTGGTTAAAACTTTGCATCGATTTTATGAAAATTTCATAGATAAATATTTTACAAAAGAGAACCGAGAAGTCCCACAATGAATCCATTAAAAATTATTCAACAGTAATTTAACTCAATAGTTAATTCTAATCAAACACCAGTCAAAAATCCCACTTTCAAAATCACCTAGCAAAATAATTTATTGAAAAAAAGTGGAAACAAAAATGGGTGAAATTCTTCAAAAGAACACGTAAATTGTCAGAAAATCTTTGTTAGAATCGGCAAAAAATATTGAGGTTCAGAAACTAAGTTAAATATTTAGAGATCAGTTTTGAGAAGTACATCGTGTTTTGTTTTCCGATTTTCAGGAATCAAATATTTGATAATCGCGGTCTGCTTTATGCATCGTCTGAAAATAGGTTTATTTTTTTCAAGAAGAAAAATAAACAGCTGATACCTCATATCACCATTATATTTATAATATATGAAAATTCTAATAGAAGATGATGCTACAAAAAGTGCTGTAGCAATGTCTGATAAAAACAGATAATGTGGGTTGAATGTTCCATCAGGTTGCTGAAAAAAACCAAACTCTCATAAAATAATAAATTTAATGTCCTTACAACAACTCCATACGATTCCCATACATAACAAGCAAAATTCAAACTATTGCAAAACAGATAAGCAGTTATGATAACTACAGTAGTTTTGACTGCACATCGCAATTTATTTTGTTGTTCCCGAACTGTTTGAGCAACTTGAAGCCGTGTAACGGAGGTCTGGAAAAAACATAAGAATGCGAAGAAAAAAAAACATGGATCCCTCATATGTTTCACATAGATGTTTTTCTTATTTGATTACCTTATACTATTGCCCGCAAGCACATTTATACGTGTCCTTTATGCGAGTAAAACATATATTATCCCTCAAAGTTTTCGTTTCACAAAAATTTGCGTTGTTATTCCAAAATTTTTCAAGTGTTTTCATTTTTCGCTTCCTCTTGATTAAGTAAGTAAGCAAAAAGTAAAGCTAAATGAATAAAATCTGTTAGCTGAAGCAGAATAACAACTTATTAGAACAAAACAAAACCTACCGAAAAAAGTTGAGCTGGAGAAGTGGATTGTCGACGTGTTCTTCGATGTTCGTTCCGAAGTTTCCAGACAATGAATGAATTGAGACCAAAGAGAACGACAAATGAGACAAATGTATGGAAGAACTGGAATAATATTTTTTTGATATATTATCAAATAATTGGAATTTTGAAGCTCAGCAGATTGTTCTTTTTTGAAATCTATAGAAGTTCGAAAATCAAGCTTCAGAGAAAATTGTGAAAGTTTTCTGAAAAATTGTCTAGACCAACATTTTGACCTGCAAGCTTTTCCCAATAGGAAAACGGGCGTTTTACACCTGTGATAACAGAGACACAACTTACAGTTAACCATTTCTCATACGACTGCAAATAATCTCTGGTGCTCTCAACCAATTCTTCATTGATTCCCATCCATTTGTCTCGAAATTTGGGGCAATTTACATCGGTAACAATTTTGAACAAATAAAATGTATCTATACGTGATATTATTCCAACAGTTATCAAAAGTGCCATCACCAAAAGTCGATAATAAAATGCTTTTCTGAAAAACAACAAAACCTATAAATCATCTGATTTGCTATTCATTTGCTATTAATTTCCAAATTCTTTCCATTTTTAACAAACGGTGTGACAAAAAAGTCATAACATGTTTTATTGAGTGCTAAAACAAAGAAGGACAGCTGACTTTTTTTGTTCTTACTACGAAGCTTCGTAGACTCGTATTTCTTCAAAACACCACTAATTTTTTTGGGAATGAATAGATGATCCTGGATTAGCAACACAAAAATGTGTACAAAAAATGTCATTTGTTTATATATAGTAGCTGTTTTTTTTGGTTGTTTCCTCCCTCAACCAAAAATTACTTACTTGCTCTCCACATCTTTTCCATAAATCATAGCCAGTTTATCCGCTGAATTAGCTATCAAAGTGTAAGGAATCAAAAGTTGAACCATTCTACTCATAGCAATCGATAAAAGATTGTTATCCATCACAAAATTATACAACGCTTCTGGAAAAAAGCACTTTCGAACATCACAAAGAGCAAAACAATTAATTAGGCAATTAACAAAAAAGGGCAAATATTTCGGAAAACAAAAAAGAAATGAACCAACCAGATTGTAAGTCAATTGATAAAAGTTGAAAGCCAAAACATTCGATATATAATACACATAACATAAAATCCAGGATCGCCAATAATGTTTGAAACGGATAGAGTCGTCCAGTTTTACAAAGAAAAACATAAAGTAGTAGGCCATTTGATATACAACCAACCACTGATAAACATGAAACAATGCTGAAAAAAACATATAAATTCCTAATGTTGTTTTTATTTATGTGAGCACAAAACATTGTTTTTCTATTCTTCTTCTTACTCCAGGTTATGTGTGCTCTTTTGATTCTATGACTTATGCTAAATCAAACTTTAGTCGTTTTATGCAAAAGTTCAAATTTTCAGTTCATCCATCAATCAGTTTTTTCCTCCTCAAAAATATACTTATATATACAAAGTTTTTGAAAAAGACCATTGTCATGTGGTCCAACATTTTTTTGAAGAAAAGTACGGATTAGGGTCTTAAAAGTGAGAAGTTTTGTTTCGACATTGAGAAGACAAAAGATTGCAAAAAGACGATGATTCTTTGCTAAACCCATTCATTCATTATATTTTCGTCCAGCTTTCTGTGACAGAATTCATGGTTATTCAAGGATGATAATATGGAAAAAATAGGAAAAAGTGCATGAATTGCGCTTTTTCCGGGCAGAAATGAAAAACAAAACGTTTATCTCATAATTTTCTATTTAATTTATTTTTTTCTTGATTTCACGAGTTCTGGAAACTAAGTAATATTTAGAGAGAAAAAGTAAAAATGTTTGTATCTAGATGTTTTTTGTTTCCAAAAAAAAAAGAAACAAAATGTATATATTCAAAAAAAGCAAAGATATCAGTCACTTGAATCAGTTGAACTTTGTGCATTTTTTCCCAAAAAATCGGATTTGGGAACAAAATAAATCCTGGATAATTGCAACTTACCTCACGAATATTTTCCTTGTTTCCATTGAAAAATCACAACTCTCTTCGGTCACATTTTCCGCAGTCAAAATTGTTTGATTGTCCATTTTTTTGTCGTTTCCTTTCTGCAAAAAAATTTTCAAAACATATATACTTTGACCTATGCTCAAAACATCAAAAATTCATTCATTCGAAAAAGCCACAGTAATCTGTGCCCACAACATTTTTTTGGCCGCGAAAAAAAACGGAAAAAGCACAAAAAACGGAAAAAAGTAGGAGAAGAAGAAGTGAAGAAGAACGGCTGCAACATCGGTGAAAAAAGTGGGCGGCGCTTATTTTTCAGAAAAAAAGAGATTTTCCGTTGAGAGTCTGGTGTTTTTGAGAATTGGAGGTGTACTGTAGGTTTTTCAAAACTACAAAAAAATATTTTTCGGGGAGGGAAGTTAGAGGTTTTTTGTTACTAGGGAGATTGAAAGGTGATCAGGCTGGGAATGTTTGGATTCAGAAAACGTTGTTCAAATGGTCAGATTGGAGTTTGGAGCTCCGAGAATCTTTTCACCCTATTTCAAGATCAAAATTTCGGAAAACTCTGGAAGTTGTGATTTTCAAAAAAAAAGTGAAGATCAGTTGCAACTGATGTTATGCAAAGATTTCCCATGATTCAATTCAAGTAGTAGCAAAAAAAAACAAGTTTTGCAGATTTTCCAACCACACGACAAAGAAGACTATATTTAGAAAAAATTTTAAACAATCTTAGTTTGAATATTTTATTCATCAAAATTTTGAATTGAATATCAGATTTCTCACCTGTTTCAAACTACATACATGTATTTTCGCTAGAAACATTATTCAAAAAAAAAAAAACTTTAGTGATGCTTTTCTGCTCAAGAGACAGATTAAAAAACATCCACACTTTTTTTCTGGAAAACGTAACGTTCTATTTCTCAGCGATCAAAAATTCATTCATTTTAAAACTGCATGTGAGTGAAAGTCTGACATTTGAACCAACTCAAGTGTTTGGAGAAAAAAAGTCAGTATAGATCAGATTACTGTAGTTCAAAAAAGAGAATTTTGAAAGTTCAACAACAAAGAAAAATCGGAAATGAAAAACAAAAACGAAATGATTTTATATTGTCGCGAATTTTTCGAAAAACAGAAGAAATGCACTCTTTGTTTGTAGTGTGCTTAAAAAGTTCGTCTCTCATTTCATTTCAAAACGGAATTAGGATGTGTTTTTTTTGCCTCAAGGCTGAACATTGGTCAGGTATCTACATTTCCAAATTTTTCATTTTTGTTCACTGAAATTTAAGGAGATGAAAAAACAAAGTTTTTTGATTTAATCCCATTTGTATTTATTACATTTCTTTCACTTAACTGAAATTGGAACTGCTGAAAAACCGAAAATTCAAAGTTCGTTTTTTTCTGCTTCCCTTTCCCATCTTTTACCGCAAAAAGCATGTTAGAATGATAAATAGGACAGGCTGAAAGAAAAGGAGAAAAAGGTTTGACGAGCAAAAGATGTGACTAAACTGAACTTTTTTTTGTTTTGTTTTTTTTTTGCGAGTCTGAAAAACGAGGGTTCTAAAATTAACAGACATGTGGAGATGATTAGAAACATGTAAAAAAAAATGTCGAGTTTGAGTTTTGGAACCTTATTCAATGTTAGTGCTTTTTTGCGAGAACAATAATACATTTACTAATAACAATAAAACAAAACGGAAGTTTTATTGGATAAAAAATGTGGCGATTTTTTTCAACCCGGAACTTTTAAAGTCATTAGGATAAGTAGGTTTTGTCTAGAACATGACAATTTTTCCTGGTTGCAGAAAAGTTCCAAATTTTTTATAGGAGAATTAGGTTAATTGTTCTGATACAAATATAATGAAATTTTCTGATATATATTTGAGCAAAGATTTTTCTTCGGAAAAAAACTATCATTAATGTTATGAACTAAAAATAAATAACATTTTCTGATCCTAAAATTGATTGAGGATCTGAACTAGTTGATAAATGTGAAGATGTTTATTCCTCGAGAAGTACACAAAAATAAATAATGTGTTCGTTAGAGCAAATTTGATTCTTCATTGCAATGATTAAACTAAAATTCGCTCTAGAATTTTTTATTGAAAAGTGGAAAGTTTAAGAAACACTCGGGCAAAAAACGGCGAGGTCGCTACCAATCGGGGCGGAGTCGCTACACGTTTCGGGCGACTGGCCCGAGGCTCTTTTGGCGAGCTTGGGGCGACTTGCCCGAGCGTGAAGCAACTTGCCCATATCTCGCTCCGATCCACTCTCTCGGAGGGTGTCCAGAAGCATTTTTCAAAAATTGTATATATGGAGCAAAAGTAGATTTATTTATAGCTTTATTACCCTACATTTATATGGGCCATTTAATCAATGGATCACTGTGAAATCCCGAAAAAAAAGCATAAAAACCATGATTTTAAAAAGGGGCAAAAATTGTAGCGAGTTGCCCGGCACTCGCCACTTTTGAGGCGCGCTTGGGGCAACTCGCTACAAAACGAGTCTCGAAAATTGTGTAGCGAGTCGCCCCGAGCTATGTCGTTTTTTGGCCGAGGTGTAGCGAGTCGCCCCGAGCTATGTCGTTTTTTGGCCGAGCATCTCATTCATAGCACAAATACCCTTATGAAAAACATGACCCCTTTAATAAACATTATTTCTCTTACCCATAAAAAGTAATTAAAAATTCTGATCTACTGAAAAATTCCCTGAAAATATTTGAACTTACCAAAAACCGTTATAAATAGAACAAAAAATTTGTTGCGTGTTGAAAAATTAATAATTCACATTCACAACTATCTAGAATGATATTTAGCCTGAGGCATCTTATGGTCAAGAGCCCCTCCTGAAAGGTCAATCAAAAATATGTAGCTCTTCTAAAAAATGCAGATTTTTTTCGGGTTGAGCAACGAAAAGTGATCTAACAGAAAATAAAGTTCGACGGAAATCCAGAAGGAAAAAAAACAAACAAACAAAATTTAATATGTCAATCATTTAAAGGACAATGGCATCCTGGAAAAAGGAGCCGGCGAATTAATTGAATTCAATTCTCGTTGCGCCCCAAACTGAATTTCGAGAGAAAATGAATACAAAGAAGTACACATTAACATTTGCTCCGTTTTTTTCTCCAAAATAAATAAGTGAGTGGATATTGCGAAAAATTGAAAAAAAAATAAGAAAAAATTGCGAAAAAAATGAATATACATACACATGGCGTCAAATTATTGGCAGAAGAAGGAAAAAGGAGAAAACGGAAGAGGAATTGCACAAAAATGAAGAATTTCGCTGGTTTTTGATCTTTTTTACCCGTATTCTATCCGAAAGTTCAACATAGTTTCAATTTTAGGCTAGAAAAGGTTCCGAGTAACACCGTTGTGAACCAGGAGGCACAAACAAACGAGAAGAAAACAAAAACAAAAAAGGTTCAAATGTCAATATTCCAATTAATATGAATTTATTATGTGGGTATAATTGTGAACGGAAAAATAAGTATATACCGTAGTTGTTTTTCATTGGAACATTTTTTTGAAAGATACAATTTCAGTGATGAAAAAACAATTTGCGTCATTATATTCAACTAACTATAAACGAGCCTGAACTTGATTGGGGAAATCTAAATTTTTATCAATTCAGCACAACTTTCCTGTGAAAAAGTCATCTTCTTCAATGTGGATTTTGCTTCAGAAATGCTTATGAGGAATGTCTGTCTATCTGTCTGTCTCAAAGCACAAAAAAACAGCAAAAAAATTAGTTCGGGTCAACTCATTTCTCAATTATAAATGCAAATTTCCATTTTTCTTTCACTCAATTCTTTTAAGCATGAAATATGACTCAAACAATTCATGAGAATATTGTTTCAGAAAAACAAAGATCTTCCGTTCCTAAATGAGAATATCCGGTTACTTTTGATTCGTCATAAGTTTTTTTTTCTTTTTTTTTTCAAATTTTACTATGTATGTATGTGGACTGGATATAATCCACATACAGCATGTCAAATTTTTTCGTTTTTCCTCCAAAAACGAAAAAAAAGGATCAATGAACAAATCTTATTAGACATGTTCAGAAATGAATGTCAAAAAAATCTCGGATTTGTTCCGAGATGGATGTTGGTTTCTCTAGTACTGAAATATGTTTTTCCTAGTCAAGAAAAAAACAATACCAAGAAAGTCAGGATTATATTCATTTTTTCTTAATAAGTGACATTTTAAGCTATGTAGATTTCTACAGAATCTGTTGACGTCAACTTGCAAACTTGGTTCCAAAAGAAAAGAAAAATGATTTTGATTGAAGACCTTTTTTAAAGCACTCTGTCTAGCTTTTTTCCGGAAGTTCAGAGAAAAATATAATCAACAATTGACCTGACAAGAAAAAGTGATTAGAAAACAAGGAGATTAATTGCTCATGTTTTCAGTTTGTGTAAAAATAACATTCACACCGCAAAGTGTAAACTTTTTCTGAAACATAGAAAAAATGTTTGGAGAGATATAGGTTCTGGAATTTTCTGATATCAGATTTCAAAATTTTCCGAAGTTCGAGGGTGGATACATTTTCAAACAAGAGTGGGGCATGTTTTACTTATACAAAATCAACTTATACAAAGTTGATAGCAATTCAAAATTCATGATTTTCAGATAAAATTCTAGAAATGTTTTGAAAGATTATCATTTCTATACCCGCAAACATTATTCATCTACAAAATGTTGCAGACACTCTTGTGAAATCTGAAAATGAAAAAAAATCTTGAAAATTTTGAACACTGTGTGTTTTGAGCCAGAACTTTTGGACTCCAGCTGTTCGTGCTCAAAAAGAATATTAAATCTGTGCATGTTGCAAAATATGAGAATAATTCAGCTGTGAAAACACACAATGTTCAAAAAATCAAAACACTTTTCTGTTCTTCTCCGAAAAAAGAACCAAATCAAAAACAAATTGAATGGATCATTTTTGATGGATTAATTAAAAAACCAGAAGCAAAAAATAACAGAAGAAGAGGGAGAAGAGAAGAAGAAGTTTTTGATTCTGTTTACACGCAGATTTTCTATTTATTTGTTCAACATATTTTGCTGGAAAGGGAAAAACAATACAATTCTGAAAAATAACAACGTGATTAAAAAAGTTTGTGAATGAATGAAGAATACAAAAAAGAGAAGGTTCTTCTCGTTTTTTTTCGCTTTTTTCTTTTGCTTTTTTATTCAAGAGGAAGAAGAAGAAAGAGATGAACATTTACTAAATAGATCAATTCTTGAATTATTCAGAACACATGTCAGCGTTTAAATAAGGTTTTAAATGAAATCATGGACATTTTCAGAGAGAATATATTGTTCTTTGAAATTTTAGAAAACATCAAAAGATCAAATATTTCCTGAATATATAAATGAATTGTTGTTTTTGGAATGAAAAGATTACTGTAAGTCTTCAGGAAGTATTTCTGCACACCACTTTTGATATATATTGAAAAAGCAAGATTTATTAGGGATACTGTAGTTAGATGAAAAGATCAGACTGGCACGGAATGTTTATGTGAAAAAAAAACGTTAAAAACTGAATAACAGGTGAATTCAAAAGTTCATTAGGTATTTTTCAGGTGTTTCAGATATTTGCAAAATTGTTTTCGGGGGTTGAAAATGTTGAAAGTTGCAATTATTTTTATAGGAGTGGGAGATGACTGGAAAAAAGAATCAAATTGTAAAATGAGATTTTTGGAAACTCAAGTGGACTTGATTAACCGCATTTTTGAGTTCAAGTAAGTTATTTTTATCTGAAACTCGGAAAAATTGAGTTTCTAGCGAATAGAGTGTATTTGAAAAATAGAACACCAGATGAGAACTGAGTCACAAAAATGAAACATTTCCCATGTTTGAGTAATTGATGACGTGTTTTTTATGTGTTTCGAAACTTTAGGCCCTCTTACAGTTAGAAATTTGAAGTTTCTAATGACTTTTTGCACTTTTGAACACTTGCAGAAAATAAATCGTGCATATCATTATGAAATCATATTATCGAAAACAAATGTGTTTTTAATTTGTTCCACTTGAATGAATTATAATTCTGAAGAAGTTCTGAATAACAAAGATTTAAAAAAATCCAATACATTTTTGAACTTGAAATTCTCTAACAAGAAAAATTGCAGATGAGTAGAATAGTTTTTTAGAGACTCCGGAATATGAAACAAACATCTCAAAAAACCAAAAAGCAACATTTTTTAATATGAAATTTTTTGAAATCTAAGTTCACATGATGTTGTTCAGGAAGTTCGATTGAGTAAATTCACAAATATTGACATCATTTTGAAACGTTTTCATTTGTGTTGTGAGCAATATGATGAAAACCAAAAAAAAATCTGAAACGAAAAGGAAATGAATTGCAGAGATTGGAGAATCCGATATTCGGTACGGCAAAAATAGTACCTTTGTCACGTTATAACTTATTTATGGGCGAGTTGTAAACCCTAGAATTTTCGTATGAATTATTTCTTGAGGTATTTTTTCAACTGCCGAAATTAAATTACAGAATAGAAATCTGCTAAAGAAGAATTGATGACTAGAGTTTCATTTGCACCTTTTTGGAATACGTCATAAAATGTGATTTTGTTTGAAGACAAAGTGGGAGTTGCTCAAAAAACATTTCACAATGATTGGATTAAAATTTTGAGGGGTTTTATCAACACGGAACTACAAACACCAAAATTATGGATTTTATTGTCAGCATTGATCATTGTTTTATGAGTTGTTTTATAATTGCTGAAAACGAGACCTAACACAACCTTAGGAAAAGAGAGAGAAATTTGAATAAAAACATATTTTTGATCTGCATTTCCAAAGTTTGAGGCTTTGCAGTTTGGGTAGTAAATTACACAAACTCTGTGAGCAAATATGGAAAATGCCATTCAATCTTACCGAACTTTTCAGGGAAAATATGAGGTCATATGGAATAATAAATTATCAAGAATGAAAAACATAGTCTTCCTATAATGAAAAAATGAAATCATCCGGAAAAACTTGAAGTTTTAATTCAAGTTTTTCTCTTGCAAAATCATTGAACATTTCAAAAAATTACTATATCGTAAGAATTTTGAAGCTTCTATGAATACAATAAAAATTTTTTATTCAAGATTATCGAGACAAAAAAATCTGGGATACAAAGTGCTCTCGAGTGAAAAACAAAACAAAACCTACTACAAAGTTTTTGCTCGATTCCTTCGAGAAGTACTCAAAATCCACTCTAAAACAATTGGAGAGCATTTTATCAAAGGCAGCCAATTTATTTTGGCGCGATGCAAAAAAAATCGGGAAGAAGGGAAGAAAAGTTTCTCACCCCACGGATTTCTGTTTGTTGTAATTTGATTTTGAAGTTACTTTGGTCCTCCTGTAGCAAAAATTCAATTACTTCTTGTTCGAATTTCTCCATGTTTGAAATCTTGCAAAGAAACAATTGGACTTTGAATACATTTATCTTTAAAATCTACTAGTCAATAAATTATGCATATATGACAACAGTACATAAATAAAATATAATTAAATAATTTAGAATCACTAAGAAAAAGCTGGAATGTTTTTGGGGTTCGAAAAAAAATGAAAATTATTGCTTGTTTATGGGACTAAAATAAAAGAAGTGAAAAAATATTGGTAAGGGAACAAAAATAAGTATTTTTGATTTCTATCAACGAAAAAACGTTGATAAATGAATGCATTACTGGAACTATGGCAATTAAGAATTTCTGGGTTTTGCGGTGAGCAGAGGATAAATAACTTTGTGAGGAATATCTAACATCTAGTTTCATACAATCCTGATCTTCCAATATATCTAACCCATTTGATAACATCATGATCAGAATAATTGAGTTTTGGCTCGAAAACTTTCAAATATCTGACTTTGAGTCCAGATGGAGCAAATGGAACTTCAAAGTTCATTGAAACCGGCGGACGATTCCATTTCTTTTTCTCATTTCCAGTTGACAACAAATCAATTTCAGCTGAGATTTGACTCTCTTTCATTCCACCCATTCTCTTAATCCTGAAAAAAAATGTTTTTTTTTTTGGAGAAGAGATGGAAAAACGAGAAACTCACTTCCAGACAATCGCATTTTCTCCAGCCTTGTACTTTGCTTTTCCTTTCATGCAAATTAGTTGCACTCCAGACGTATTTGGTGGAGTTGGAATTCGAACTTCGATTTTTTGCGCCAACAATGATGGCTTGAAGTTGGACTTGACCACAACCTGCAGATTTAGGAATTTTTAATTGTAAAACAATTTGATTGCTGATTCTGATCCCTTAATTACTTACCTTAACTTCCATTTTATTTCTCGAAACTTCACGAACTAATGGAATAACACGGAATGGCAATTGAATATCTTTAGTTGTTCGATATCTCATCAATTCATATTCACCATCTGGTGGAATGAATGAAATTGCGTGTTCAGTGTCGAATTTGGTCAATTTAACACATTGATGGAATTGGCAATCATCGATTGCAACAGCAGCACGAGAACTAGAAAAAATCAATAATTGTTGAAATGTTTTTTCTTTTTATTAGAATCAAAACTCACGCTTTATTTGGATCATCAGTTGCGGTTTTGGTCTTTCCTTCAATTGTAATCTTATCATTAATACCAAATTTACATTCAGGCATTCCACTCAAATACGACTTCATCGCAACTTTTCCAGCAACATGTGCCGATAAAACTTGTCCTTGTTGGCTCATCAACAAATTTACATATTCAATTACATCAAGGAATAACTCGTTTCGACGATATTTGATACCTTCACGACGCCAGCCAATTTGACCAGTTACTTGAGAAGTGATTTGAGATTGCTCTTCTTTAGTCTGCAAAAAATTAGTGTCATTAATTTAGAGGAAATTTTGATATCTCTATTTGAAATTGGTAAAAAACGGGGGATTCAAAAATACAACCACCAATACAATACAACATTTATAAATATCGAGTAACTTACAACTGGGACTGGGGTGTCCTAAAAGTCATAAATCAAATTTATATTTAGCTATGTTCAATGTCTCCTTTTTTTCTTTTATGCAACTTTTTCAACAAAAAAAATCACTCACCGCAGTACGAACTCCTTGTTGTGTGATGAATGTTTTGAGCACTCCTGGATCAGTGTTTTGAGGATAGCCAAAATCGAGAATCTCTGAAAATGAGAGATGACTAGAAAAAGAGCGGCATGTTTGTGTCACTAGCGAACATCTGAGAGACATTTTGTTGGGTGAAGTAGGGTATTCCGAAAAAAAGGTCCTATCATCCCTAATTTCAGGTTCCGACCAACAAAATGGGGACTTATAATATGTCCAATTTGTTGTGATAACTCAAAAGGACATTGGTGCTGCCCGATGATTCATTCATTTTTGGCTCTCCCAATGATGAAATCACATTTGATTTAAATCAGAATTTTAACAAGCACAAGACACACAAGAGTATCTATCCCGCGCTATTTCATAGCAGAAAATAAAAAAAAAACATACCATCTAACAACTCATAAATCAATACGAAATTGTTTTTGACATTTTCCTCGTTCAATTTTCCAAAATACGATTGCATTGTATCAGCGAATCTTTTCAAAAATTCGAAAACCATCGCCGCATTCACATTTTGTCGAGTGACAGCACAAATCCAAACATTTCCTCGTTTCACGTGGAAAAACGATGTTCTAGCCATATTTGTGACCGGCGAACGGACTTGTTGTCTTGCATGAATCACATTTACACGAAATGCATCAACAGCGTTTCTCCTGAACATAAATAATTCATTTATTATTTTAATTTAATTTTGAAAATAAAATCAATAAAAGTACTCACGTAACATCATCTCGATAAATGCGCGAAATCAGCACTTCTCCTTTGTGGTTATAGACGAATAACCCGCCAATCATTTCCCAAATTTGTGTTGTGTTCTGGAACAAAAACTGGAATTATAGAGAATTCTCGGCCACAAAAAATAACACCGAAAAAATCAGCGAGAAACGAAAAGAAAAGAAAACAACAAACAAAAGAAATTTTTTCCAATAAAAATACCTCGGTCTCATCGCTAGTCCCTGTGGTTGCCTCGCAAAGCGTGCATGCGTCGCGGCCCTCTTCGTCATATGGTTGAATGGGAAGAGAGAGGAGGGTGTTGAGAGAAAACGGAGGAAAAGAGGAGGAGCGACATTTACCCACACTTGGTAGTTTTTCTCTCGATAATAATGCTTGCTCGTTTTGCCTAACGTTCGAAATTATTATAATTATTTTTTATTTACTCTTTTCATTTGTCTATTTCCTCTTTTTACTCATAAATAATAACACCCTTAGGAAGGTTTTTTGTTTCATATTATAACATGTTATTGATTGATCATTTGTCATTTCATTTGTGCGAGGCAAAAAAACCGGCTTTCAAGGTTCGCCTTTTTTGTAAAATAAGGTGACTAGAATAGATTAATCTTGAAAACATTGAATAAAAACCTTGTTTTCATTGCAAGCCGACTCCATTTCCAACTCTTATCATTTTTCCCCCTCTATTTTTTTGATAACATTTTTTGCTGAATAGTCGAAAATAGAATTATATCAGATTTAGCTTGGCTTTACTTTGCCTTAACTTACGAATGAATTACACTTCAAGTGCCCTTCTTTCATTTTCCAATCACTTTTTTCTTTTTCGTCAGTATTTCATTGTTCTTTCGAAATTTCATACTTCAAAAAGACCAGTTTTTGTTCATTTCATGATTCAACAAATTTTATTGATTTTTATTAATGTGCTATTCTCCGAAAACTTTCTCTGATTAGATAAGCTTTTTTCATATACTACTATATTGCAGGTGTCGGTTTCAACAAAACCATGCAATCCTTTCGCAAAATTTGGAATAAACCTCGGCCAGATGATTGGATGCCTTTGTCAAGGTTCTATTATGCAGATGCCGCGTTAAACGATATTGGTGGGTTTTGAAACCATCTGTCAGCAATTTAAAATTGAATTATTTTAAAAATGACAATTTCTCTCTGACGTAGTGTTAGAAAAAACCGGCATCCTAATATTTGCACTGTGTTTTTTGTCATTTCTGTCTCCGACACAAAAAAGGCTTGGGAAAAAATGTAAATAAAAAAAGTACTATTTTTCGATTAAAAGTGAAACCAAAACAAAAACAAGAGTGTTTTTCAGCAAAGTGTTTGTCTTTTTTTCAGCCAGCGAATTGGATTCTTTTGATGGTAGGCGAGACCCGGATCGGTGTAATGCATTGGTGACAAGATTACGTGTTGCACAGGATAGAGTTCTTCATATTATCAGTAAGTGGGGGTTGGATTATTTTTCGGATTATCCTTTAAAGGAAATGAAAGACAAATCTTTGGAGCTAGGGTAAAGTAGATGCATAAGCGCGGCTCAAGAGGAAACAAAGTGCATGCTGAAAAGCGCGCACTTTTTTTGAACTCGAATTCTGCACTTGTGATTCACTGAAATACTACGATCGGACTAGATGAACTACATACATATTATATATCTATTTTTCCTTTTCTTGTCTTGGGAAAAATAAAAAGTACATTTTATTCTTTATTTTTCTGGATGAATATCATCATTATAGAAATTCAATTAAAAGAATTTCGAAATGACATACATATACATATATAATGGGAAAACCTTATTAACGTAGCAATTTTTGGGAGGAAGGAAGGAAGGAAGAAGATTGATTAAATTGCAGGCTCCTGTCAAAAAAATTGGATTAGAATTTTTCTTTGAAAACATGGAAAATTCTTGTTTTTGGCAATGATTAAGCTAGTTTGAAGTTTTCTAGGAAAAAAGATGTTGTTTAGAAAAAAAATGAATCACTTCAAGAAAACAACAATTTATTTTTTTTTGTCTTTCGTTATTATTAGTACATTTTCATATAGCGAAAATCTATATAGAGAACAGGAGAAAAAACGAATTAGCGTTCGAAAAAAGTCTTCTAATCATCCAAATGAATACATATATAATTGTAAATCGCTGACGTCATGAAACAATTGTTTGGTCTCTTGAAAAATAATTCCCATGTTACTTTTTTTTCGGCTGACCACAAAAAGCAAGAATTCTTTCTGAGGACCCGACCCTTATCCTGTTTTTGTTTTTCTCTCCTCTTCTTCTTCTTGTTCTCACTCAATCGTACATCTTGCATAATTCATAGTTTACTTTTTTTTGGAAGTTCCAAAGTTTTGTACGCAGAGGAAAAAAAAGAATGGGTAAAAACTAAACTCTCAACTCGAAAATCTTTTTTTTCAGCTGAAATGCTTATTCAATTATATCCAAGAGAGTTGGATCGAGCTTGTCGAGATTTTCGTGTAAAATTTCCGGATGAAATTGTGCATGATACTTTGCCTGGACAACTTTGGTTTGGAGCAGAGGTTTGTTTGAGAAAAATTAGCTATGGAAGTAATGTTTTTCTTTGAAGTGCCTTGCTGCTGGATCAAATATAATAGATCATGAATCAGAATCTGATCAGATACGACCTTTAGCACGAGAAGTTACAAAACAACTAGATTTATTGAGGGATTTATTGAAAAATCAGTCCCTCCGAGATCCAACCGCTTATAATCCAGTTATCAAAGACAATTTACTCAAATTTGATAAATTATTTGCAGAATTTGAATATCAGTAAGTTTCTAGATACAAAAAAAACAATAATTTTCAATAATTTTCTGTTCAGATATGTGTCTGCGATGGTTCCAGTGAAATCAATCAAAGAACATGATTCACAACTCGATGTCGCTGTTCTTTTCTCCGAAGTTCTTTCTTTGGCACTTGATAAAACTTTGATAACTCAAGATCTCATCGATTATTGTGATCCATCTGTAATGATTGCTATCCCAAGATTGGGAATTGTTTGGGGACTTTTGCTCTATTCACAAGGAGCATTAAATGTCGATGGACCACAAGAAAATCTCTCGGAAATGTTCAGACCATTCTTCTCATTGTTGGTGAAAATTAGGAATTTGTTGAAAATTTTGACAAAAGAAGAATTGACAAAACTTGAGACTGTTTTATGTAAAGGAGAATCGTCATCAGATGAATCATCGACGAGTACTTTAACAATGTCTGATTTTCGGACCGGTGGAACTGATGAAGAACGGGCAAAAAGTAATAGCGTACGGGTTTGGATGTGCGATATGCCTGAAGATTCTGGTGAAAGTTCAGTTGATGAAGAAGATGATATTGATGACGAAGAGCAACCAGAAATCAACAAAGATTCCGATTCGATGAGCACATCATCCGATTCTGATGTTGAATGTGATAGTGAAGTGGAACCAGAAACTTCAAAAGATCCCAGATTCCCACCAGACCCAAAGAATTTGCGATCAAGATTCCGATCTTCAGAAGATCTTGTTCATCGACTTTTTGTATGCATCGCTGGTGTTGCAGATCAATTACAAACAAATTATTCGAGCGAAATTCGAAAAGTTTTGAAATTGATTCTTCAACCAAGCGAAATTATTCCAGTTTATGAGGTTTGTTTGAAAAGTTCTAAACATTTTTTCATCAAAAAATGTATACAAAATATTGATTTTTTTGCAGGTTCATGCTCAAACTGCCACTTCTCCAACCGAAGGAGAAGAAACTGGTGTCGAAGTTCAAGAATCACTTCCCCTTCCTGCATTTATGGGTAGGTTTTTTTTTGTTATGAATGATTTCCGTTTTCATGCCCTTATAGATTTATCCTTATGGAGGTTATTATTTGTCATCCACTTTCCAAACCGATGGGAAAATAGAAGAAAACTTGAGACAAAATAGATTTTCTCAACCTTTATGAATAGTGTTTTACTATTTTCCCAGCGTTGAAAAGAGAATAAATAAAATTTCCCCATTTTAATACACATTTACAATTAATACGAACTAAATATTTTCCCTCATGTTTAACTGCTTCGAACACTCATCTAGTAATTGTATAGTTTATCCAGGGGTTCGATGGGTACCGGATGAAGATTGTGAACAATGCACAGCATGTTCGACGCCGTTCAATTTTGTGAGAAGACGTCATCATTGTCGTAATTGTGGTCGTATTTTTTGCCATCGTTGCTCAGTCAACTCAATTTGTATTCCAGAACATGGATATGATAGAAAAGTGAGTTTGAAAAAACAAAAACAAATTAATCAACCCAATTATTTTTTTTTCTAGGTACGTGTTTGCAATTTATGTTATGTTCATCGATTAAATCCATTTGGATGTGATCCGAATCAACCACAAAATCCGGCTGCAATTAGCACAACAAGTGATGACCATCATCATCATCAATCTACCGCAACATCTACTTGATTGATTGATTTTTGTCAATCAATTTGTACAATAAACACACACTGAAACTTTAAGTATATTCAAAATCATGTAAATCTAATCATATCAAAAACAATCAAAACTTTTTAGAAAATTATCGAAAGGTTGTGACTTTTTTTTCCGCTCATTTCTTTTTAGACAATTTTTTTGTTTTATCCCGTTCATTTTCATTATATCAATTAATACCGGTTATTAAGAAAAATTGCTTGAAAATACTAGGAAGCCTTTTTATCCGGATTCGTTTCTTTTTTTCATACATAGCTTCTGTGATGTTCAATTTTTCCCTATTTCGCCGGTTTTTGTCTTATTTTTGTTTTTATCATAAAAATAAATTTAATGTGTTTTTTCTGTGTGTATCTATAATTTGTAAATGATATGAAATACTTATTTTTTAAAACGTGTTCTTTTTTTATGATCGAAACTTGATATGTTTTATTAACCTTTTCAGAATGCGCAAACAATCCATTGATGTGTTTTTTTAGACAAAATATATTCAGACGTGACCTCAATAACAGATTCACAGAAATTCACAGGAATCTCGCGTGAAAAACGTGTCAAAATATTCACGAAGACTTGAAAACTTCCGGGTCATACATTATATTTTTCGTGCTAAAATATTCATTATGGGACAGATTCCAATTGTTTGTGGCAATTCATCATAGGTTTTTAAAGCCGTAGCATTTAACCCTATCATATTATCAGTTAAAACCAGAGCTAGAAAGTATTTATTTTGAGAAATCACGGTCCAAACTTGTTTACAGATGCGATTTTTATTATTCCACTGTACTTTTCACACTGGAGAATTCTCAAAAAAATTGAACGACCAAACAATAAAAACTATTGATATTAAAACTAGCAATGTTATCACATTGGTCTGATACGGTTTCTCTATTTTGGAATGTATTTTTTGGAACTTCTTGAACAATCTTCAATCTACTTCTAATATATTTAGTTTCAAAACATACACCAGAAAGTATGAAAGTTTATGCGTAAGTTTACCTTGTAATTTATTTAAAAAAAATGAATTTTTCTGCAGAATAATAGTTAAAACTGGTGGTTTTTGCGATGGCATATTCTCATTTTTGTTAATTTTCTTTAGTCTCCGACTATTTTCTTCAAATTTCACACTAGTTTTTATTTTCAACGGTCTCGCTCACTATTTTTCATTCGTCACAAACAAAATGTGTTTCATGGGTATAGCATCTCATTTTTGAAAAGTTCTTTTGATAGTGAATTTTTTAAAGCATACACCACACAACTCCACATTTATCTTCTAAGTACATCTATCATTCTTTTCTCGTTTTTCTATCGACAATATGTGATAACAAATCCGAATCCTGGAATTTTTCTCAGCCAAAAACATGTCAAACTTTTTATTTATTGTTTGATACTTTTAACAACCATTTATATTCCATTCATAATTTATCTGAATATTATTCCCGATGAAAAACTAAATCACTTGATACAAAACATCCGACCAGAACTATTAAATGATAAATGGAAATATTACGCAATCATTGATTATACAGAATTTCCAAATTCATTAACTGAATCTTGTATTATGTTTCAAAATTGGATTGTTTTGTTTTACGGTTAGTTTCAATCTACTATTTTGCAACGCTCAGATTTAGAAAAAAGTTGTATAATGAGTCTCTATAAACATGATCAGCTTCACAAATTTGAAGTGATATGAATTTTCAGCAATTTACTGTCGACGTAAAGTAAATCGATCATTATCAACAATTTCGATGAGTCTAACAGTTCGAAAACTTCACAAATCCTTACTGACAGTCTTGATCCTTCAAGTCCTTTTCCCACTTTCTCAAATCGTTTCAATTTGTATGCATGGAAGTTCAATGATTTGGAACAAATTACAAACTCCGTTTTTTGAAAATTTTCTGGAGCTTCCAATATCACTTCTTTGTTCTATTACACCATTATTCACTATTTATTTTGTCGCACCTTATCGGTTTGTGAATTTTTTGAAGCTTGAGAATTTTCAAAATAAAGCATATACAGACATGCGTTCAAGTCTATTTTCGGTTTCGGAACAATATCTCCAATGCCTGTGTTTTCAATAACAGTTTCATCATCAACACCTCAATTGTAGCCAAGTTTGTATTTTTGAGAATTTAGAAATTGTGCACATCATGATCAGGTAAATTTTCTGATACCAAACGAAAATTATTCTCAAAATGACAAACATTTTTGAGTTTTGAAAAATGAAAGTTATATTGGCACATTATAAGGATCCTTCTTTTATTCTTTAAGCGATTCAAAGATAAGTTAGAAGTTCAAAAAATTGCAGACTTTTACCGCCACATCGAGCGTGGAGGATCATAACGAGTCATCCGAAGTCGGTTCCCAAATTCAGCCGCGTGCCAATAATCAATGGCTTTAATTATTTGTTGAGCGGTTTCCAGATACTGATGAGTATTTTTGATTTTTCGAAGTAGACTTATTGAGTCCCGTAGATGAATTTTTGCTGTTTGATAGCGCCCATTATCCAAAAAATGCTTTGCGTCTCAATACAATTATTAGATTTTCGCATTTTTCAATTTGTGATCTAATTTTTTTCTGAAAAATAAACATTTATTTATTTTTGAAAACAATGAAAAAACCAACTTTCTGAATCGGATCAAGTTCATATGGCTGTAGTTTCGAATAATGTGCCTGCAACTCAGAATAACTTGAATATTTTGCTAGTTGTGAAAATGGTCCTTCATTTTCGTCATTTTTCGGATACATTTGTAGTTATTCCTAAATTTCCGAAATATTATTAAAGGTAGTTGATATGTACTAGTTAACAAAATAAAACAAAAAAAAGAAAGAAAAATAATTATTGAGTGCATAAACCCAACAAAAAGGGAGAGAGAGTGAAAGATTTTAGACGCAGGTAAAGTCGGTTTATCTCATATTTTAATTATTGAGAAAGGTGCTGTCAAGGAGATTAGGGAAAATGGCAGGATACGTTTGAGCAGAATGAGGTCAAAGACAGTTTGGCAGCTGTTTTTGTGAGCCACAATTTTTGAAGGTTTTTGTTGAATTATTTCAACGAGAATCAAAATTTCGGTATTTGTTGAATTTAATATATAATCTTTTGATCAAAAAACTCGAAATTTTTCATGAATTCAATTGTAATTCGTGTGATTTACGTCTTACGAGTACAATTAATTCAAAAAAATAAGTAAATAAGTTTTTTTTTGAAAAAAATTGATGGATGACGTCATCCATGGCAAAATTAGGAAGCCTTCCTGATTTTGCCACGAGTCATTTTTTGAACGAATTACTTGAAATTTTCTATGAATTTGTCTCCAAACCGAAATTTCTGTTTGGAGACGGTCATGTCTTCAAACGAAAATTTCATTTTTTTTTTATTTTTTTCAACGAAAATCAAAATTCCGGTTTTTGTTAAAAATTTAACAGTGTTAAAAATTCTGATTACCTTAAGCCCGAGTTTTTTCGTGTTATCGAAAAAAATCGGCCCGAGATTTTTTTATTCATCGAAAAAAATCGGCCCGAGATTTTTTATTCATCGAAAAAAATCGGCCCGAGATTTTTTTATTGATCGAAAAAAATCGGCCCGAGGTTTTTTTATTCATCGAAAAAAATCGGCCCGAGATTTTTTTATTCATCGAAAAAAATCGGCCCGAGATTTTTTTATTCATCGAAAAAAATCGGCCCGAGATTTTTTTATTCATCGAAAAAAATCGGCCCGAGTTTTTTATTTATCGAAAAAAATCGGCCCGAGTTTTTTTCTTGTTATCGAAAAAAATCGGCCCTAGTTTTTTTTTATTTTTCGAAAAAAAATCGGCCCGAGTTTTTTCTTGTTTCATGTTTTTTTTTTCAAATTTTTTCAACAAAAATCAAAATTTCGGTTTTTGTTGAAAAAAAAACTCATTAAATTATTTTTTTTTAATTAAATGTACTCTGTTTCTTTTTTTAACACTGTTAAAAAAAAACAAGAAAAATTTTTTTTTTGAAATATTGTTCGATGACGTCATGGCAAAATTAGAAACCGTTCCTGATTTAGCCACGAGTCATTTTTTGAACGAAAAACTTGAAATTTTCTATGAATTTGTCTTAAAACGAAAATTTCATTTTTTTTTTGATTTTTTTCAACGAAAATCAAAATTTCGGTTTTTGTTGAATTTTTTGAAATTTCTGACAAAAATACCCGCCCGAATGAACATTTCGATTTGAGCGGGTAGCTGAAAAAAATTCAAAAATTTTGATTTTCGTGTATACAGTCAAAAAAAAAGTTACAGATTTGGAATAATCCAAAAATGTAAAAATGAAGTCGATGAGTTGGGACCTACATTTCCTCTCAGGCTTAGGCTCAGTAAATCACCTAGAAGTAACAATAAAGTCGGGAAAATTTTCTGTCAATTTTTCTGTTTTTAACAGTGTTAGAAATTCTGATAACCATATTTTCTGTTTCGTAATTCAAAATCTCAAAAATCAATTAGAGAATTTTCGATCTACCGTAATCATATTAATTTTGATCTATTTTTTATGCAACATTTTTCGTAAGAACAAAAAACCAGACGTAACACCCTTAATTTTTCAAGTTCTTAAGGAATGACCGTTATCAAGTGAAAAATAACGAAAAAATTTGCATATTTTTATAATTTCCGAAAACCTGTCTTCTCACGAAAAAATGAGTATATAAAAGGATAGAGATCATTGGGAAAATTATCATAATTTCAATTATGGATAAGGAGACTGATCAGCATAGGTGAGGTTTTTCTCTATTTAAATTTTATATAATTTTATTTATTTTTATGAGTTTCAGGCAAATGCGCCGTGTCGCTTTTGCGGCTACTGTCGTTTCTTGCGTCTCGGTTTTCTGCGCCGTTGTGACATTGCCACTTCTTTATACCTATGTTCAAACTTTGCAACAAGAAATCGTTTTGGAGACTGATTTCTGCAAATTGAGATCTCGTGATTTGCTCGTTTCACTTTCTCAGAGAGCCCCTGAAAACAGAGTTAAGAGAGGATGGCTGTTCGGACAATGGGTTCCAGATAGTGGTGCTGGCGGCGGTGCTGCTCAAGGAGACTACGGTGCACCAGCAACTGAACAAGCCTATGCTCCAGCTCCAGCTCCAACCGGATATGGACCAGTTGTTAATGCTGAACCAGCTCCACAATGTTGCACATGTCAACAAGGAAATGCTGGACCACCAGGACCACCAGGAGATGATGGAAAAGACGGTCAAGACGGTCAACAAGGAAATAACGCCAAGAATGGAAAAGATGGTGGAGTTGCACCATCTGAGGGACTTCAAAGCGAACCATGTGTTATCTGCCCACCAGGACCACAAGGGCCACAAGGAGCAGCTGGAAAGAAGGGACCAACTGGACCAAGAGGATCACCAGGACTTGGAGGAATTGATGGACGACGCGGAGAACCAGGAATGGCTGGACCAGCCGGACTTCAAGGAGAACAAGGACCAGAAGGACCAGCTGGAAAGAGAGGAGATGATGGACGTGTTATCAACGTGAGAAATACTTATTGATTTTTTATTAGGCTTTGCATTATACGTTATTTTTCAGATCAATGGACCACCAGGACCAAAAGGAGCCCCAGGGCCACAAGGACACAAGGGAGAAACTGGGCCAAAGGGACGTCGTGGAAGCAGCATTCCTGGGCCACAAGGACCACCTGGAGATCAAGGAAGAAAGGGAAGAGCTGGAAGAAAGGGAGAAACTGGACCACAAGGAGGTTTGGGATCAAAAGGACCAAACGGAGATTGTTTCCATTGTCCAACACCAAGAACACCACCAGGTTATTAAATGCTGTTGTGTTGTATTGTTTAAATTATTTCGAGATAAATTCATTGTATTCAATCAAAATTTTATTTCAAAATATAGAAAATAGGACTTCAAATAAACCGCAAAACTATTTGACAAAATAAATGGTAGAAGTTATATCCAGAAAATTTTCTGATTATCTGCAAGCTTCGTGAAATGCGATGTGAGGAGAGCGGAGTTCGAACACCATTGGAGGCAAAAAGTTTTTCAAATGTTTGCTAAAACATTATTATAAAAATCAATAACAATAGAAATAAATAACTTACTTGCACTTTGTACATTTCGCATCAAAAACATCTCGAAATCTTCCAAACATTGAGACAAACTGCAAAAGGGACCATGCTGTCCAATTTTTTTGAACTGCAAAGTAACGATAGAGAAAATGATTGGCTTGCCGAGTAAGACCTCGATAAGTCGAGTAGCGAGAAGGGACATATGGACAAATCTGAAAAAAAAACAAAATATTCATGCTGAATAAAAGAGAAACACTCACAGTTTTACTGACAAAATCATCGTCATAAACCCAATCTTCCATTGGAGCATACATGTTGATATATTCGACGTGTCCATTTTTTTCAACGAACACAAATTTGAAAAGTACTGCAATTTCAGAAGCATCTTCCTGTTCTTTTTCTTTTTCCGGCTCTTTTTCCTTATCTTTTTCTTCAGTCCCTTCTTTTGCCTCTTTGGGTTCTTTGGATTCTTCTTTTTTCTCCTTTGCAATAGCCACACCAAATCGAAACTGAAAAAAAGGTTGGGTAAATTGAAGGATCACTGCTAATGAAAAACATAATTAACGTGGATTAGTTTAAGGCAATCCTAAACTCAATTAGGGAGAGCTGTTGCGGTTTGGATTCCGAGAGAAGTACACACAAATAAGTCTTGTATGAGAAGAGCAAACTTGACTGTTTATGTGTTCTAGCTTTTTTTGATTTGATAAAGTTAACATATTTGAATATCTTTCTCTAAGTTTTTCAAGAAGTGAACTTTTCCGCCTTATTTCCAGCAATATAGAAAAAGTTTCTCTGCAAATTTAAATTACCTCTACAACAGTTGATGAAAAAGTGCGTCTGATCAATTTCGGATAAATGCCCAAATTTCTCTTCGTTATCTCCCTTTGAAGACCAGACAGTGAAACTTGATATACACGATGGTTCGAATTTTCCGGATCCGATAACTTGATATCAATCAACTTTCTTCGTCTCAACGTCGAATTTCCTTGAGTCAAATGTCTCCGCAATAATTCAGATTCATAATGAAAGTATTGCCATTGTCCCTCATTCCAATTATTTCCATCAATCATACTTTCAATCATTGAAGTAACTGGATTCAAATGTTCCATTCCATAAATCTCAACCATATTATCAACCATTTCGAGTTGTGGATGTTTTTCGGGTAAACGAGTTGATTGAATATGAAGGTATATTTGCATACATAACACTTTTATATTGAAATCTTCAAGTTCTTTATAAGCTTTTTCTTTATTTTCGATTTTCTTCTTGTTTGCAATAGTTTCAAACATCAATTCATGTGTCTTTTTCATATCTTTTCGTAGTTGTCGAAGAACTACCAAACCTAAAAACAATACTGAAATTGTGGAAATAGAATGTTTCGTAACTAACAATTATTGGCTACTCTTCCAAGATCATTGAAAGCTTGTTGAATAGCTATACTAGCTCTAGGCGACATTGTTGGATTTGCTCGAGCATCCAAATATGAAGAAGTTGAAGCGGCTTGAGATACTGTTGATTTTGCTGGACTTTTTTGCGACTGCGACATGTTTCTGGAAATAACTCGAAAATTGATATTATCAATCAAAGATTTTCAAAAAAAAAAGAAAACAAACACGAGAAAAAAAACAATGACTAATGCAACACTAAAATGAATAAATGAGAGATAAAAGTGAGGGAGACGCAGAGAGACAGGATAACACTACTATATGCGCGCCCGTTTTTTAATTCAAAAAAGGACAATGCATATACATATATTGGAAAACTTTACGAGTATTTAATGAATTTTCTTGCCGAAAAAAGTTGTTGTTTATACATAAGTGATAAAATTAATTAGAAATAGGGTTTGGGTGTTGGTTTTTTCAGGATTTCGTGACTCTGGCTATTTTTTTGTTGTGTTCCATGGGTTTATGCTTCAATTTTTTTAATGTCAAAAAAGTTATGGATTGTTTTTCTGACCTTAATAACAACAAGTTCACGATTTTTAATCTGAATAGAATTTTGTGCCATTCATGATTATCTCTATCATAAATTGTAATAAACTGGAATTTTTTTCTTCTGAAACCAAATTTTTTCCAAGATAACTACCGGTTGCTTCAATATACAAACATTTTTCCTCTTTTCATCTCTCGATAATATTTTCAGCAAAAAACAGTGTCTAAATGCGAAATTCTTCATATGTTATTTACACAATGGATTCAAAATGTACTTATTATGATCATTTCATATAATTTATTTTCTCTTTCCATTTCCATATGGATCATAATATGGTTGTGGTGAGCCACAAGTTGAGCAACTCGGTGGAGCCGGTGTTGTCACAATAACTGGTTGTGTTTGACAAGTATTGCAAGGAGTTGGTGGTTGGTAACAAGTATTGCAAGGGCATGCAGCCAATTGTTGACATGGTTGTTGCTCGATTCTTGCTCCGACACACTTAAAAATTGAATTGAACTCTTGGACTTTTTTATGATGTTTGAAACTCACTGCATTAGCTCCACAACTACATTGTCTTGTGCGAGTAACACTTCCACCACTTCCACAAGTCACTGAACAAGCTGACCATGCTGACCAGTTTGAATAACTGCAGCAGGCTTGATTGTTACACGTTTGAGATTCAGTTGATGCTCCCACGCATTGACAAGATGAGCAACCATTATTGCAAACACGATTACGACTCATTGTGCCACCACCGCAACTGGCACTGCAAAAAAAAAAACAAATTTGTTTTTAATCCGTAAATTAAATTCGATTAAAAACTGTTGAAAGGCAAATAATAAATATTTACCTGCAAGAACTCCACGCTCCCCAAGCTCCCCATTGTGGCTGAGCTGGTGTTGGGTCATAAAGTACACAGGGTTTTGTTTCGCTTGGCAAACCACCTTGGCAATTATTTGATGGACATGTTCGTTGACGGGTTTCTACTGGAGCTGAAAACAGATTTTCAGTTAATCTAGAATCTTTTCATATTTTAAACTCACTTCCATAGGCACTGGTGCATGCAGACCACTCTGACCATAAAGCCCATTGTCCAGCTGTATTTCCACAGACATTACAACCACTTGGATTTGCTTGAACACCAGTTCCAATCACATATCCCAAAGAATCTGAAATAGTTTTATAAGGGACTATTTTCATAGAAGAAAAAGGTTACCTTTAATGAAAACAGCAAGTAAAATAGTAGTTATTGAAATCATATTTTGATCTAAAGTAAATGATTGCTGGTAAGTCAAAAACCGAGTTCTTTAAATATATTTTTAAAAAAGTAAAAAAAAAACTTTTTGTTGATCCTCCCCCTGTCAACTTAAGTAAATGTTTATTTTTCAAGCGAGAAGGGCAAAAGAATCAGCTTTGCTTTTATGGCAAAACACTATTTTTTGAACCACCAATTATTTTCGTATATATCATAACCATAAAAATCGAACCTATATCCATAAAAAATTCGAGATTTTCCTGAAAATTTCCGAAGAAAAGTAAAAAAAATAATGTAAAGAAAAAACACGCGATTCCTATCTGAACTCAGTATGTAAACATGGGAAGTGAGAGAGCAAAAAACCAGCTTTTTAAGAACGCTGACTCATTCGAAAGTTATATGCTTACACAGAGCTAAAATTAACTATCACAGTAAAATAGATATAAAAAAATTTATTCGTCATTATTTATTTACATCAGGCAATATAAATCTTTTATGACAATCTGATATCGATGAATAAATAAAATAAGTACACGGCTATTTTCAGGTTAGGAATTTTTTGCAGGAAATAATAATAAAAAACAATATGTAACAATGATGATAATTTGATAATTTATATAGAATTTATTCTTTTTGTTTTTTGCTTTCGATAACATCGAGGATTGGTTGGCGTTTTGTTTTGTATCTGAAAAAAAAACATTTATTTTGATTTAAAATATACCTAGAGTTTTTTTCAACAGTTTTCCCATTTTAAATTGCCCTACAGGTTTCTATTTTGAACAACCGGGGTTTTAAATAGTAATCTGGAATTCAATTCAGAATCAGCAGAATTATCGAATAATTCTAGTAACTCCTTGAAAATTGAGAAAAAAAAGGATTTTATTATTGAATTTGTTCACAATGTTTGCTAGGTTTCAAAATGAATTTTTAAAGTATATATTCTCAGAATCTCGATGCCATTTTCATTTGTATAGTTTTCATTAAAACGTTGATGATTTTCATGATTTACTGGAAACTGTAGTCAAATTACAATGAACGTTCTGTTTAAAAGCTCAAAAAACCAGATGTTCATCCAAATTTGTTTATATTTATCTTCAAAAAAATCTGGGATTTTAAACAAATTCTCGAAAGTTCAAACTTCCGAAATCTCAATATATGACCAAACAAATCTTTGTTCTCATCTCAAAAAAAATCACGAGTTTTGACCGATTGAACAATTATTGTTTCTTTTTTTTCATTAAATTTGTACAAAACCTGATTTCGTGTTGTAACAATACAACTCTCTACGTTTATTTCTCAAGATTCAAAGCAAACATTTCATATATATTTTTTAATCAATTAAGAAACATTTATCTCGATTTTTTGTTACTTACCTTCTTTGAAGCTCTCGAATTTCATCTTCCATTTCTGTATCCAAACTTTCTTTTCGTCGTAATAGTTCTTCTAGTGTAATGTTTCTCAACTGAAAAAGAAAAAAATGGAAGAGGTTTTTGTTTTTGAAACTTACAAATTCAAAATCTCCATCGACTATTGCTTTTTGGAATCGGTTTTCATATTCAGCTTCAGTGTTCACTGTAAAAAAAAAGAAAATTTTTATTTTATCCCAAAACAAATCCAACTAACATGGTTGATAGCTTTGAGCATCTTTATAACTTGTGTCATCAGATCCAATTGAGAAACTTGGTCCAGTTTTATCATTCATAGAATTTTCAATAGGTGGTGGTGGAGCTTGTTGTCTTTGCAAAGCCGATTTCGGAATCTCTCCTCCAATCTTCAAACTCTCCATCTGACTTCTCAAACTTTGCGCAGTTATATAATTTTCACCATGTTGAATTAATGTTGCATCTCCGCCAACCATCGTTGACATTCCCTCATTAATCATAGTTGCATCATTAGCATTTATCGAATTCAGCTGATTTTGTAATGCAGCTGCTTTTTCGCTTGCATCTTTGATCATTATTTGAAGAACATCACATCCAGGTGCAGCTAATATGAAGGGGTGTTCAGTTAGTTTTTGCGCTGATTTTCTTTCATCTGGTTTCTTCACCAAACAACATTTGATAAAATCTACAAATTCAGCACTCCATTCTTCTGGTTTCTTGAATGTTGGAGGTGGTTTTGTTGGAATCATAAAAATAGCTCTCATTGGATGAATATCTGAATATGGCGGTCTTCCTTCAGCCATTTCAATTGCAGTTATTCCCAATGACCAAATATCAGCTTTAGTATCATATCCAATTTCTTCAATAACTTCCGGCGCCATCCAAAATGGTGTTCCAATCACAGTATTTCTTTTTGCCATTGTATCAGTTAGTTGGCCAGCAACTCCAAAATCAGCTAATTTAGCTATTCCATCAGTATTAAGTAGAATGTTTCCAGCCTAAAAATTATAGATTGATTTCTTCTCTGAAAAATCATTGAACTTACCTTGATATCACGATGAATCTTTTTCAAATCATGCAAATATTGCAAACCTTTGATTGTGTCACGGAGAACTGCACTGATTTCTCCTTCGTTGAGCGGTTTTCGTCGGGCGCGCATTATATCAGAAACGCTACCAGCACCACAATATTCCATCACGATCTGAAAATTTGGCCTTGAATGGAAGATATATGAATCATTGGGAGAGATGAGAGTGACTGTTAAAATTAAAATGAGACTAGATATTTTTTAAATGTTCAAGATGAGCTTGAATTTTAGATTTTTTGAAGCTCAACATGTGTAATTTCAAAAAAAAAAAAACAAAAATCTTTGTAAATTCTAGAATTTAATGTCATAGAAACCATTTCAGCTTCATCCAACTAAACTTCAAATTGAAATACATTATAGAGAGTTTTTAAATTTTTATTTAAATGAACTTCACATTTTTTAAGATGGTTTTGATTCAAAACATGATTGTTTTATTAATTCATGTTTCTAATTCTCACCAGCAGCATTTTTTCATTTCAAAGATAATTCCATAAATTCATCTTAATTTTCAAAAAAAAACTTACCCATAGATCGGAATTTTTGAAGTATGAACCATAATATTTTACAACGTATTTACTCTTGCATTGTTGCATAATGCTTATCTCTTTGATTATCTCCTGAAATACAAAAAATTGATAATAAAAGAAACAGTTGTTCAATACTCACATGTAAATCCGTATCAACCGGCACTTTTTTGATAGCCAATACATGTCCCGAATCTTTATGAATTGCTTTATGAACACTACCATATGATCCTTCGCCAAGTTTTCCAACTATATCAAAAACCTCTTCTGGCATCTTGTGCAATTTGGCCGAGTCCAGTTTAAACCCGTCGCTACATCCCTCATCTTCTTCAGAATTCCGACGAGAATTCTCTGTGGATGGAGGCATAGACCTTGAAATTTACGTTGATAAAAAATATCAAAAATAAAAAAAGAAGAAAATCATAAGACAATATCAAATACATTACTATTGGTAACCGGTGGTTTTTTTTGAGAAATTTGAAGAATTTTTACAAGAAATTTGGAGAATTACCCAAAAAAATCAGATACTGGGAACTATTTTTACTCATAAAAAGAGGTATTTTTGTGACAAGGTCAAAAATAATATTCGAAAAAAAACCAGAAAATGACGAGAAAATAGGGAACCCTATAATTATAAAAGGTTATCCAATTTTTAATCTTTGAGCATGTATGTATGTATTTATTTTTGTTTCTGTCACCAAAAAAACCTAAATACAAAAAAAGAGTGTTAGACAGTAGGAGAGTCTCGAACGCGCCGCAAATAGTATGCGGTGCGTATGACCCATTCTATTGAGAGAAAAGAAGAGAGACGTAGAGAAGGCAAATTTTCTTTTCTTTTCTTTTTTCCCCTATTTTTCTCAATAGCAAAAGAAGAAAAATGAAAGTGTATGTGTAGAATTGAGAGTGAATTCATATACTTTATTATTTGTTACATTCATCTCATTTTTTATAATAATTTCATTTATTATTTTTTCAATTTCAGGTCGATTTTTGTTGATGATCTAGTGATATGGCGAATGGTTAGTTTTGTTCTGCTACAGAAATTGAGAAACAAGTTCTTTTTTATAGAAGTACATCAGAAATATGACATATTATGCCACTTGAATGAGATTCCGCTTCTTGGACGAGAATGTGTTCCCAGTAAGTTTCTTTTTTTTTTATTTTTTTAAATATTCATATCACAATCCTTTCAGAATTTTGGAAAATAATCGAAGCCGAACCTGCAAAAGACTCACCAGCATGTGAAATTCCCCCATCAACGCCTAAAAAAACCAAAGAAAATCATAAAAGACAATGTGATTTTATAGATAATTCTAGTCCCACTCCAAAACAAATCCGATTTTAAAAATCAAATTAGAAAGATTTTCACTTTTTTTTAGTCGATCATACATACATAATAGATTCGTATTGGTCTCATATTCATATTTCTTTTTCATTTATATTGTGATATTTTTTGTGTGCTCGTGCTCAAATTGCCTAGTAGAACCCTTGTTAGATTTTCCTTACCCATATTACATATTCAATATAGTTGTTTCGTGCATGCTTGTGTTCAGTTCCAAACTGTTAACTAAATAAATATTTTATAATCTTTATGAACAAATATGAACAAGAATGATTTCAGAAAAAAAACAACTTGTGAACAAGTTATAAGTTGACCCGATGTGAAGCTTGGAGTTCTTTGATTTGAGTCGCGAGTTCACCAATTTTTTCGAAATATGTTTCTGCATCGGAGACAGAAACATGTTCAACTTGAGCATTCTCGCCTGAAAAATTAATAGCTTTTTCTTTTGTGGAATTCAAAACTAACTTTTGTCAGTTGAGTTATTATTCTCAATTTGTTTCATACAATTTGATGTTCTCCATTGCTGTGAAATCATTATTTGTACATCGACAAGATCTTTGAAACATTCGAGAATGGGATTATATTTAGGTCGGTTAATTTTTGCAATGTGTTTGATAATATCCAGGCAAACGCGATACTGTAAATCAAAAACATATGATTTGAAAGAAATGTACATAAGTGTATTTTCAAACATTTGAACTTACTCCATATCGCCTGTGTAATTGGCAGTCTGTGGGCTGATCAGAGTTGAAACCAAGTTCAGTTTCAATGTGTAAATCCATACTTTCTGGGCTGACAACCATATTGAATTCAAAAACAAAATCGAGCGCCATGAAAATACATTGACTCTTTTCTTTCAACTTTAGAAGGATATCGAACAATGGAGTCCTTTTGGAAAAAGATAATTTTGGAATTACTATTTTGATATTATCAACAATTGATCCTTTGATTAAACAAGAAGACATCTGAAAAAAGTATTAATTTTCCAAAATCAATCATGTTTTGAGCTTAATTTTGAAACTCACAAGATCGCGATTTCTAGAGATACTATCAAGGATAAATTTTATTGATGTGTTGAATACCTTCTCGTTGCAATATTGCCATTTTTCGAGAGTTCTAAGAAATAATATAACATCTGAAGCTTTAGCAGTTGATCGGCGGTCGATAAATTTGTCAGCAGCAGTTGAAACATATATTTTCATTTCGATGACATCATTGAAACAAGGATTGTCGTGTTCGTCAAACTGGTCAATATATTTGGAAAGGCCCCGAGATAGTTCCTCCAATTCCAAACTAATTTCCAAGTTATCCGATTCGAGATGCGTTAGTGTTTCAAAAATATTCTTCAAAATCGATGAAGATTCCGGAAATATTTTGAGAAATTGAATACAAGGTTGGAAACAGTCTTGAATGATGAAATAACTGAAGTGTGTTTTCAATAAAAATTTCATTGCAAGACAGGTTTGTTTCCAAAAATCTGGAGCATTGCTAGTATTTTCTTCAGCTTCGAATGACTTTTCAATAAACACAAACTTCAGAACATCAAAAAGTTTATCATGTCCAATTCCAGTTGCTTCAACAAGACATCTCAAATTTTTGATGATGGGTAGAAATAATCTCTGAATAAATTGAACTAATTTTAACATAAAATCATGAAAACCATAGTTACCTTATTTGGAGTGCTGAAGATGACAAAACCATTAATCCAAATATGAGCAATGTGGGAAAGGTGTGTGTTTTGCTTTTCCTTTTGCATAACTCTATCTGAAAATAATTGATAATTGATTTTGGCTGGAAGAAAAAAAAACAATTGTGTACCTGAATACGCTGATATGATTTGCAATCCATAATCAGCACGCTTTGAATTTCCGAAATTTCCAACCATATTCCACGAACAATCCCTAATCATTGTGCATATTTGTGAAGTATGAAGAAAATTATCATATTTTCTGAAACATTTTTATCGTAAATTGTAGCATTACATTTTCGAAACTAACTCTGAATGTGCGTTTACAAATTCCAAAAATAAATCAGCCATTCTCTCAATATAAATATCATATTTGTTGAAACAATTACAGATTGTAGTCAAAATACAGTGAATCGACCTATTTTCTTCCTTCAAAATAAGTGTTTGACTAGAGATTTCTGCGAATTTCAAGAATGACTCAAGAAGTTCGACATCTGTAAAAATAAAATGTTGTTAATTGTAAGAAAACACTATAAACCAACTTTTTAACTCTTCTAGACGATTGAAAATTTCTAACACTCTTGTAACCGATGTATAACATAAATTCCTTTTGTCGTATTCACAAATTTTTGAAGAAAACTGTGGATCATCTATCAACATCATAGTTTGAGTCCATAATAATATTTCAAAGATTCCATTGTTGATTGTCTTTTCAAATCTTTCAAAATACTGAATAAACTCATCAGTTGTGTTTTTTTGACACTTTTCTGAATCAATCGAAAGTATTACTAATTTTCCAAACGCATTTGCCTTCATTTGTCGCAAACTCTGGAAAAACCTGAAGGTGATAATTTGAGAACTTTTTCTTGATAATTTTCTAAATGTTAGTCGGAAAAAATCTTTTATTTTAAATTAATATTTTTTAAATTAAAGAGAATAAAATTTGAAATATTTTTAAATAAAATTTACTAGAAATTGACATACATTTTTCAATAGCACAATCTCAGCACATACCTGAATATCGTTCCCTTTGTCGCCAAAATCTTTCAAAAAATCACCCAATCGAAGAACATTTGAAGTTTTTGTTACCATTTGGTCTAATAACTTCCAAGCATTGTACATATAAGTATATTTGTTTGTATCAATTATCTTTCTAATCACTGGTAACTGTTCCTCCTCGGGTTGTTCAAGAAACATAGCGAAAACCTGGAAAAATCATAATGCAGTAAAGCTATTTTTAAATCAATGGATAGAGACCACCCACGAAGCTTCTAGCGTCGTTATCTTGCTAGAAGTAAACGAAAAAAAGGTAATAATCTTAAAATCCAATAAATCTTCAAAGAATAATATGGTCACTTTTTGGAAAAATAAGTTGTTCGGAAAATGAATAAACACATGTGGTAAAAAATGACAAAAGAAATGGCGCGAACAGATGTTTGTTGCGTACGCAGAGAGAAAAGCTGTTTTTGGCAGTTTCGAAATAATTTTTGATTTTTAGAAAAATTTAATTGCTCAACTTGATTATTTTAACCATCAAATAGAGAGCAAATAAAGTTTTCTTTCAGCCGAAAAAAAGTGAAAAAAATTATTTTGAAATGCGCGCGGACTACGGGGTTTTTTTTTTTTTTGAGAGAAAAGATACATTTGAATAGAGCGCGGTTGCCTCGTTAATCTCGTTTAAACGCGTTTCTTTTTTAATTTTTAGGGGTTTTTTTTAATTACCAGGTAGGGATATAACTTCAACTTGCCTCATCTGCATCACTTTTATCACAATCCTCTCTTTCGAAAAGCGCACAAGCATTCCAGATTGAAACCTCCATTTTCTGACAAAAGTTCTGAAATAATTGTTTTTTGATGGGATCAAATTTTGAGAAATAAAATTTGATATGTGATAAATGACATTTTAAACAGACAAAACAAAACGGGGAGGAGAAAAGGGAATGGCACAAACTGTCGCTTTTTGATGAGAAATGAGAAATGTTTTGATTTCTACAGAAAAAAAAGTTTATGGGAACGAACAAAAATAATTCTTATTACACTTGAAAAATTGAACGTTAACATTTCAAGTTCGGAGAAAAACGTGATAAAAATCAGGATTTAGTTAATACAAATTAGAAAACCTCACAATGACACCGGTGAAGTCTGTTCTACAATTCAGTCATGAAAAGAGTTGCAAGTTGACTTTCAATTTTTAAAATCCAAAAAAAATATTCAGGCCCGGAAAGTGAACATTGGCAAACGGAAAACGGAGGAGAAAACGGGAATTTCGAATTATTATTGGCACAGTCCAACATTATATTCTAACATAAGGATGAAAACATTATATTTAATTGATTGTTTGTTCAGGATTTTTCGAAAACAAAAATGATATTTCGTCAAACATATCCAATTTTTATGAGTCAGAGTTTATTTTTCTTTTAATGTTTTTCATATTTTATCATCCCATCGTTCATGAAAATATTTTGTTTTATTTTTTATACCATTTTCTTCATCTAAATGATAGATTTTTTCAAAAATTCATAATATTTCAGATGAACGGGTTCGATATTTTACAATTATTCAATTTCAAACAAAGTTCACTGAAGGATCTTGAAAACCTGATTGGCCAAACTGAGCAAATGTTTGTTGTTAGTTCAAAATTGACTGGAGAAAAACTGAAAGGTCTCAGAGCTCATCCAATGAATGCACAAAATGCTTTGATTTTTCATAAACGTCAGATTCACGAGTTTCACACTTTTTATAGAAACGAGTAAGTTTTTTTGCAAAAAAAGTTAGAACAAAATTTATTATTAATTTTTTAAAGGTACAAAGTTGATATTGATGAAAGCGAGCCACTTGTTTATGAAGTAACAAACCCGAAAATATGGATACCATTTTCTCAATTACATTTCGAGAAAATCAACAAAGAAGAGGCAAATGAAGAAGAATAATAATTGTATATAAGACATTTTCCAACATTATTTTCCGTGTTTATGTATATCTTATCTATAATAAAAATATTCAAAAATCCTATGATTCTTCAAATCACATTACAGAAAATAAAAATTTATTCAATCAAAACGTTCTTTGACAAAAAAACAACAAAGACATAACATTCAAAACTTGGTCTCCATGCTTTTGCCAGAACTTTTAACATTTTGCAAATTTCTTGGTCCAGGTTTTCTGCAAAACAACGCATTTCGAAAATCACCGATGATAAAGATTGTGATAATTGCTTCAACAGCTGGATAGAAAACAATAGAAGCTGTTAGAATATTTTTCAAATTCGCTATTTCTATTCCGAACATCGGGCAGATCATCAGCAAACCAAGCGGTATGAACATCATAAAACATGTTATGCTAACCTGTAAGAAAAAGGCTATTTCTCTGATGGTGGAATGAATACTTACTTGAAAAACAATAGTCATAGTCAATCGGCAATTTGATTTTCTCATTTTCTTGCTGTAATAAACTTCCTTCGAATTTATTTTCCAACAAATCATCGATACACAAAAAATGATTATAAACATGCATAGAACCTGGAAAATATTCACAGTTAGACTCGAAAAAACGAATATTATTATTTACCACTAAAATAAAACAAGCTGACGAGACAGCAACATCCAAATAGTTCCAATGTTTTTCTCCAGTTTTCTTGTCAATAATCCATAAAATTACAGCAAGATAAGTCATGCTTTGATCAAAAAGTGTGCCCAACTCCCTTAAATACTTTGATTTGATACAAAATATCTTCCTAGTAAAAATCTTACCGCGATACTTCGTTTTTCTTTTCATCGGTATTCATTCCATAAAAAACAACAATATACTCAAGCACAAAACAGGAAATTGATGGGATAAAAATCAGAAACAATTTGAGACCACAGAAATGATGAAGTGATTTCGTTCTAAAAATATACGTTTTCTAGTAAAATATTCTCACGTATTTCACTTGCCTGCAGATTAGCAAAAACTTATAAAAGTATTGAGTTGTTAGAAGTGAAATCATAAAAATAAAAAACGCACAAAATGTGGATAGCATATAGTTTCCAAAATGATTGTCATATATCGAAACATCATTGATTGATATAATAAAACCTGAATCGAAAAAAGCAATAGAAGGATGTATGAAACATCCAAGTCCGGCGTGAATTATTGATGTTGTTGCAAAGACACTCATAACACATCGGTAGGATTTTGAAATCTTCTTTGATTGTTTCACAGCCAAACAAAATAGAATACTGTTCAATATAATAGATAGGATAAATCCAAAATATTCAATATATTCGGAGAGCTGCATATCTTTGTGAAAAAAATAGAAGAGCGTCGACTAAAGGTGATGACAGATTTGTAGTTCAGTTGAACACAAAATGAACGAGAAAATCTTAGGACACAAAAATCAACTATTTTTCTCTTGTTGATATATTAGTCAAGGAAAAAGGTGTGCCGTTTTTCTATAGATTGCGTGTTACGAATATGTAGGTGAACGAATATTTTCCAAAAAAAAAAAAACAAAAGATTTTCCAAACTGAAAATATGAAAGGTTGACAAGAAAAGTGTTTCAATTCACCACGATTTATAAAAATTTGATTTTTTTTTTGCTAAAACACTTGTCATAAATTGTCATGTAAAAACAATTAGCGAACATTTTATTCTGAAATTTTATTTAGATGCTATATATTTTCCAGAAAAATCTATTTGTGATGCTTTTTGATGCTTCGAAAATCATTACCCTGTTTTCTTCTCTCATACATAGAACAACAAGAAACTCAAGCTCATCCAAATCCCTTGTCTAATTTTCTTTCTCTTCTTTTTTTCCTTCATGACCACAACTAATTTTGGTTGGCAGTAAAGAAGTCATAAGTTCGAAAATCCTCTTTTTTTGTCTTTTTCTGATTAGGTTATGTGTTTCATTAGTTAGTTAGTACTTCTTTTTCCTTCATTTTCTTTCAAAAAGACAGCACTTTTAATCTAGACTAATCTCTTCATTTTCACCCAAAAAAGTACCGTAATGTTTCATTTTCGAGATTAACCCAACTCTGACTGACCCTAGACCAAAAAAACGTTTTTTTGGCTTTTGCTTTGACTGGTGGTTGGGTTTTTTTTTCAAGTGTTGACTCCGAAAATCCGAATTATTTACACAAATACAGTAATCCATTTTATTATTAAAAAGAAGACGAAAAAGCAAACCGGAAGAAAGCAGATATTTTTAAAATCAAATATTTTCCTAATATTCAGAAATGGGGTTTGGGGATAATGATCAAAAATGAATGAAATAAAGCAATAGAGATATGTTCAAACCCAATAAAAATTGGGAAAAAAGGAAAATAATCAATACATAAAGTTATGACAACTCTTGTTGTACGACAAGGAAAATTGAATTCAGAGGTGATAAAACAATAGAGATCAAATCACAAAAAAACATATACGAATCAAAAAGTTATTCAGGTTTTCAAGAAGTGCTCAAGTTCAAAACCTCTTCTTCGAGTTGATCAAAATCTCGAATTTCAGCTTTGATACCAAAAAGTTGAGCAGGTAACCTGAAAATTATTTGTTTCAAAAAAATCACATCTGAAATTCAAAAAACAAACCTGAAAGCATTGAGAATATCTTCGGGTGAATCCATTGTCGGAGGTGTCATGTATCCTTTTGGTGAGAGATCTGATGAAATTTGAGATGTCGTGGATACTGTAAACATATTGTCTGATGTTTGTAAATTCGATACTGTATTTTTCCAATAATTTCATCTAATTTTCTTCTAAAAACTGACCACTACATTCTTCCGGATGACCTGGATGATGTGTTTCACGATGCCGACGACGATCCACTTTACGTTGAAATGTTCGACCACACACGTCGCAAGCAAATGGCTATAAAAATAAAATAATCTGGGTGGTCTCTTGAAATCAATTTTGATTACCTTGAATCCAGTATGTTTTCTAGTATGAGTAATAAGATTTGAAGATTGACTGAAAGCTTTTCCACAGACTGTGCATTTATGCGGTTTTTCTCCTGGAAAAATCAAGGTATTTTACATATTGTTGTAATTTCTCATTTCCAAGTTTTGTTTTAGGTTTTCTCTAATTTTCATTTCATTTCCTTTTTTCACTGCTTGAAGGAATAAAAAATAAAACGTCACATCAAGCAGAGCCATCGAACAAATCATGCGACACGACACATCTCACATTAATGAAATGTAACGCGGATTTAATTTGTTTTCCAGAACATGTATAACAACTTTTGATGCCCCATGAAAGTAATAAAATCTTTCAACTGATGAAGGAAAATAAGGAAAATGAATGGATGAAAAGGGAATCCAGGATGAGTGCACAATCCATTCGATATTCATTCGGATTTTTCACTTGAATGTTTTGATGACATGAGAAGTCTTTTCATCATCATCGTTTCTGATTCATCAATCATACGACATGCTTTTCGTTTCTTTCTTTTTTTGTTGCTTCTTCTTCTTCTTCTACCCGTTTTCAATTCACTTCTCCTCATCTACTCATTCATTCATAATAAAAACCGTTGGCTCAAATGAGTGAGGATAGGATTTTTATCGAAAAAGGAGGAAGAAGAGGTGAATAGTGAGTGAATAAATAACAATTTTATTTGATTGATATATGTATATACATATTTTTGGAAATGAATTTCAAATTTGAATACTAATCATCATAGATTCAAACAAAAAATTAATTTCCTGCTTCTGGTTTTATAAATAGTTTAACTAACTAAAAAATTCCTTTGACCCAATTAACCGCCCATATTTAATTGTGCGGTAAAACAACATGCATTTTCACAGCTGTTCAAATCCCATCTGCTTTTTTTCAAGAATAAAACTGGACTATGATGATGTTCAACAAAAAACTTCAAAATATTTACCTGTGTGAATATACGTGTGTTTTTTCATATCCGATTTTTGATGGAATCTTTTGCCGCAATATTCACATGGATATGGTCGTGTATCAGAATGTATAAGTAGATGTGTCGAGAGTGTTGAAGATCTGCAAATAAATCATGTTATCTTTTTTTTTCGCTGACAAGACTCAAGATTAATTGACACGCGATTTTTTTTCAATCAAAAATTCATACCGTTTAAAAGTTTTTCCGCATTGCTTGCATTCAAAATGTTTATCACAATTATGAACTTGTTGATGTTGTTCAAGTGCAGATATTGTTGAGAATACTTTCGAACATTTTTGACAATTATAGGGTTTGATTTCGCCAAGTGGAGATGGTGAATTGTTCGAAGTATTGGCTGGTGGAGAATCAGCAGGGTTCATGGTTATAAGATTCATAGCCATATTACGAAGTTGATTTTGCCAGAAAATTGGTGCAAAATTCATAGGGAAATTGGGAAGCATTGGAACTGGTGGGGGTGGAGGTGGACGCATCGCTTGTTGCATCATCATTAATTTTTGTTGAAATGCGATTGTTGCAGTCATTCTTTGCCAACATAACATTGCTTCATCTGTCACTTTGTTCTCGTTTTTGTTATCTTCTTCGGACACTGAAAAATAAATCATTTACATATTGAGATTGAAAAGGTTACTGTATCTTCTTTTTAAATTTTTCTGATAATGTGAATTCAAAAATCTCAAAACTTCTGAAAATACTAATTGAAAATCTGATTGCAATAACTGTTTTATTCCAATTTCACAATTAAAGTTCTGTGGACAAAAAATCACAGTAATTCTAGAAACCCGATCAACTTAGATTCCAAAAAAAACTTCAAGAAAATCCCGTGTCACTTACCAGTTGGAGATATGCTTGCCTTTTCCACATTTGCTAGCAGTGATTCAACAGAATATATATTACTCGGAGCATGATCTGTGCTTGTGCTCATTTTCGTCTTTTTTTTGTATAATTTTCTTATGCTGCAAAAACCAAACCAATGATTTAAAAACAGAACAAAAAAGTTTAACAATCAAGAAAAACACGACAAGCCAACTTGATTATAGTTAATTAGCAGCAGAAAAAAGGAGAAAAGTGTCCGATGGGATTTTCAACTCAAAGTTTTTTGCCAAATCAACGCCAAGTCGCCAAAAATTTGGAAAAGACGAGAAAAGATGTGCACTTTGAAAATATTCAATGAATTGTTGATGGGCCGTTTTTCTCGGATTTTTTCTATCTCGAGTGAGTGAGACTTTACTGATTCATTCATTCATAAAAAAAATCTTGCTAGATACAGTAGGAGAGGAGAATATTTTCTTTCGAGATTCAGAATGAAGTGCGAAAAGATGTGCTCGCTGTAGTGTGAAAATGGATTTCTCTTTTTTTATAAATTATTCATAACAGACAAAATGAATTGTCCTAACTCCTACTTATTTTTCAAAAAAAATAAATGAAAGAATCTGAAAATCTTTCAGAAAAAGTGATGGTTTGGTGGTCAACACAAATCCAAAATAAGGTGGAGTGCAACACAAATTTCCCCATTTCTCCACCCCCGGTTGTAATTTCGCGCACTTTTTATTGGCCGACTCCGCCCATTTTTGGTGGCGCTTGTGTTTGTGAAGAAATTGAAGCGAAAAAAGAGGAGAAAATTGGAAAGAAGCAATGTTGCCAATATAATATGCTCGCTTTAATAATAATCTCATACCCGATTCAGTGAAACAGTTGAATGAGTCGAGAATTAATCGGAGAGTCTTCGAGCACTCTTTTTTTCAGTTTTTATTTTTTTTCTGAAAAAATGAATGTTTAAAAGCAAAAGTGCACATTGTCATGCAATATTAAACTGTTTGGTTTTTTTTGCTTGAAAAAAACTTTTTGTCTTTTTGAATCTTGCACAGAGTGCACTTTTTGAAGGGAAAACATAAAATGGAATGGAGTTTTTTTAGTGGAGAGAAAAGAGAACATTGAATTTTTGATGAGGATTTTGGGCTTGGAAGATTTTCAGGTTTTGATTTGAATTTTTTGAAAGAAGGAGGATTGAAAGGTTGTTGGAACTTTTTTAAAGAAAAAAATTTGATCCTTAGAATCATTTCAAAATCGTGATTTTGGGATTATTGAAATCCAGATTTGAAAAAATGTATCTGATCTATATTCACCTGAAATTCGCCGGATCTGAGCTCAATTTCAGAAAACTAACCAAACTCACAAAAATTTCTCTAGAAAATTCCAGAGTCAAACCCCGAAGTACTTTCAGGAAAATATTTAAATAAACAATGTTCGAAACAGTCTACCAACTTGATAATTAGTTTCAATTTCATTTCAGCAAAAAAAGAAACAATTTTCAGTTTTCTAGAAACATCTTCTCTATATACATTTCACGATCTCTGAAATTCGACCTTCTAAGCCATCATCGGCCCAACAAATCTGCTGCTGTTGCTGATTTGTATTCTACTCCATCAACAAAACGAAGCACACACACACAAAAAATAATTAGCATGCGGGGACATCTCAAGAACTCTTTTTGTCCTTCTTGACGGCAAAATCTTTTTATGTATAGGTTTTTCTGGATTTTTTCAGAAGGGGAATCACCCTATTCTGCATTAAAAAACCTCACGGGAAATGAAAATGAAAATCAGGCGTTGAGTGAGTAAAATGGATATAATTGGAAGTCAAAAATATTATGCATCTCTATGCATTTTTAAGAGGCATCCCGCAATGATGAACCTCGAAAATTTGGAGAAAACGGATTGGTGGGGAGGAGGGATAGGCCAGGATAGATAAATAAATATAAATTGACTTTTCATGAATATAAATGGTGTGCTCTTCCACAAAAAAAATTGTTGAAAAGACGAAATTTGTTGCTAAACACAAAGAGTACTGTAATGATTTATGATTTTGTTTATTGTCTCTTTCGAGATGGATTAAATTGGTTGGTTAATAGGCAAATGAAAAAAATTGGGAATGAAAAAAGCAATATAAAGTCAAAAAGAGTTCATTTTGAATTGATGAAGATATTCGTTTAGAGTAACGTTTTTCACCAGAAATTTATGATATTTTTTTATTTCCTACAAGTGAATAGTAAATTTAGGATAACTGGGGTTACAGAGAGAAATCAATCCGGAAAAAGAAAAAGCCAAAAAGGAAAACACTCCAAAAAACTACCGTATACCTTTCCTCCCGCATGCAATGTTTGCATAACAACAACAACAACAAAAATATGAATAAGAAGGAGAAGAAGAAGTGAATGCGGGAGAAATCCAATTCCCAAGTGACAGGAATACCTCAAAATCGGAGAGGTGATTGGATTTTGAATTGAATATGTGCATGAGAATATATATATATGCACATATTTATTGTCAAAATTTGTTTTGGTTCCATCAAGCCTTCTTTCTCTTTTTTTTTGAGAAATGTGTGAGAATTGGTAATCATATTCCTATTCTTGGTTTGGTGTCACATCTAATATTCATATTTTTGTATCAAATTTCGTGAAAAGCGACACTACGGTAGATGAATAAATGACAGACAATTGGCAGGAAGAAAATGGGTAAATGAAGGATGCGCGAAAAATCAGCCAAAAATGTTTGTATGTGTTGCTTTTTCTGTCGGCGGCACCAAATGAATTGTTTGCTCATTACTTACTTTGATTGTTGAAGGGTGCCAAGTACCTTCACCTGAGCCTGAGCATTTTAGAATGTAATTTGAGATATTATTCAGAGGGGGGCACTTGATTTTCAGATAGATTTTTATTATGAAGAGAAAAACAATTATGCATTTTATTTTATTTCGTATTCATTTTGAGGGATTTTCACAGCGTGTAGGCTCAAGTTTTCTCAAATTTTCAAAAAACCTCTTTAGGGTGGGACTAACATTAACAAAATCAATATAAGATTTTTGATCTACCAGAAAAAGTTGGGAAAAAGTTTGAGGTCTCCAGATTTGGAATGACGAAAAATTTTTGAAAAATATCAATTCATACATCCATTTTTTTCATAAAAGTGCATTAATTTTCTGTGCTAAACGAAATTCCGACTCTTTTTTTCACGCTAAATACTCATTACTCCAAATAGCAAAATCCATAAACACAGCAATTAAGAAAATCTACCGTAGTCTCAGTCTATCTCATCAAAATGGGGGTTTATAATTGAAAAAAGTCGTGGTATAGAAAGGGAGAATTGGAAAATATGTTATTATTCCCTTTTTTATGACGCAACAATCTTCCTCTTCCTAATAATTCAGTGCAACCAACTCTGTCTTTCTCTCGTAAAAATTTTGGACCAAAAGCTGGGAGAAAAAAGGATGAAGTAAATTAATATTTTCTGATGTATCAATCGGCGAAAGATGAAAAATAGACGGTGTAGAAAATAATTCATATACACCCAAAAGCAGTGTGCGTGCGTGTAGACAGATGCACCAATCATTTTTGCTGACAATTTTGCATTGGTTTTGATGTCGGTGTTATTTTTGCGCGCACTCATTAATTTTTTATTACGTTTGTTTTGAGGATGGTTTATTTACAGATGTTTTATATGAGCAATCAAAATTGTACGGTGGCAGGCAGCAGCTAAGTTCAAAATGTTAAAACTGTGGCGGAAAAAATATCTCAAAAATACAAAGTTTTGATAAATCAAAGTTTGTCAGCTATCTGAAAAAAGTTATAGATGCATGGCTTTCAATAAAAGAAACTTTAAAAATTATATCTTCAAAACTCGTATAACATTAGTTGATCCAACCTGTAATTTGACACCAAATTCGACTTCCGAATTCCAAGTCTTTTGAGTTGCAAAAATCAAATTATCGCGCCGTATCCGCATCTCATTGTCATTTCATTTTAACCCAATTTTGTTGCCATAACATCTGTCTCGACATTTTGTGTGTGTATGTATGTCTGTGCGGTAATTTTCACGCGATACACGAGCAATTTCAAAACGAGAAAAGGTCATTAAAATTCGGGTGTTATTAGATAATTGGTGTATTTTTGTGTGGTGTCTTCCTTCTTATTGTTATTTTTATGGAAAATTGGATAGAAAAAGATGGGAAAGGGGAATGGGAATGGGAAAAAATATGTGATTTTTTGTTTGGGGTGAAGGAAAATGAGGAGTACTGTAGTAGAAGGGGTTGGAACTTTTTTGCAGAAACAATTCAAACTTGGTATCTTAATGTACTGCTCACTGTTAAACTCACTTGAAGGTTTTGGATAATTTTTTTTTTCAATTTTCAAGCATAAGCACCAGCTTGCAGCCTCTGAATATAAGATTTTGCTCAATCAACTTTGATCTAGAATGTTGTTTCATATCTATCAAATTCCATATCTCGAAACCTTTCAAAATCTTGAAAAATAACTTCTAAACTTGCTACTAATCTTGCAAATCTCCAACAAGTGTTCCACAAAAACCATAATTACACGGTATATCTGAAGCAAATCCAATTAACGAGTGCATCTCCTCCCGATTCAACCTATAATTAACCGCGTGCTCCAACTCGCCGAAAAAAGTCAAATTACAATGTATTGGTATTGTTATACATGATTATATAAGACTTGCCGTCTAATTCAATCAAAAGAAACCTGAAACCTGACAGTACACCAAGGGTCAAATCATTATTGTTTTTATTACGGTAGTCTGTCCACTTGTCGACCACCCACTTGACAAAACTACACCCAATTAGCCTGTTGTTGTCGGTAATATTTCAAAGGCCGACTTCTCGGATTACTGTAGCTTGTGTTGCTTGCTTATATGTACATATATTTTCATAAAAGAGCAATTGATGGATCCGATGACACATGCTCATCTTCATCTCCTTATTCTTATTCTTCTCCTTCTTCATTTTTGTCTTGTTTTTGTTTCACTAATAAATTAAATATTGAAAATAATTGAGAAACAAAAGAAGAAATGACCATGTTGTTGGCGGAAGAGCAAGAGCAAAACGGTTTTTTTTTCGGATGGGAAGTCTCGAGGGAGTATTTTCACACCTAATTTGCAGATTTACTACCACCCGAGATTATGCATATGAATGTGCATCTGGGGAACAAGACGGACTTTTTTTGATATGTGCAAAATGGGTTGAAAAGATTTTGAGGGTTCTACTAGAGAAGTTCTACTAGAAAGCCTACTTGAAAAGATTTTGAGGGTTCTACTAGAGAAGTACTAATGGGATGTTTTCGTGAGAAAAATTAGCTGGAAAAAAAATTTTAACTTCTTGAAAGATTGCTCATATTAAAAAATAAAACAAGATGCATAAATTTATAGTTCAGAAAGTGTTTTAGAATTACTGGGCTTTCCAAGTTTTGAATATCGGAACATCTCATCATACGGATGTTCTGCTTTTGATAGTTTAAAAGGGCGTATGTTCAGAACATTATAATTTTTAACCAATCAATAAATATTGTTCAATAAAATTTTGAAAATGAATGAAGAAAATCTATCAAGTTTTGATCCAACGTTTTTATCTCACTGAAATTAAGATCTAATTTCTTGTAGTTTCCAACAAAAAAAATTAAAAATAAATATCTTTATTATTATTATATCAACCCATTTTCTATATATCAATCCATAAATAAATAAATAAACTATATATCAATATATAATTTGAACCCAATTATAAAATGTGTTGCAAAATTTGTTCATGAACATCGCGTCTCATTCTTCTCATCGAGCATCCCATTGGAGCATACATTGAACATCTGAAAAATGAGGATAATTAAAAATAATTATATTTCCCTATCAGTAAGCTTACCTTGGAGCAGGTTCATCACAATTTGGGCATTCGAACGGGATTTGAATCGAAGCGCATCTACAGGGAACCGGTCTTGGTGCAGAACATGTGCACGGCGCTGGTTGAACTGGTTGACAGCAAGGGTTAGCTGGACTTGGTGCAGCTGCACAACACGGTGAGACGGCTGGCTTTGGTGCTGGAGCTTGAGCAATCGCTTGACAACATGGGTTTTCTGGAACTGGAGCTTGCTTACAACAAATGAGAGCTGTTGGAGGTTGTGGTTGTGGACAGCATGGGGATGGAACTGGTGAAGCGCCACAACAAGATACAGCTGGTTTTGGTTGTGGGGGTGGCATAGCTGGACAACATTGTGGTGAAGGTCTTGGAGCTCCGCAACAGCTCTGAAATGTATTGAATTGAGAAAAGCAAAACTGATTAAAACATACAAAGTTAATATTAAAGGTTGGATTATATGGTGGAAGTTGTGGGGCTCCACAACATTGTGGGCATTCTTGACAAACTGTTGGAGCACATCCCTGATTTCCACAATGTCTTTTCCATCTACGAACAACTGGTACCAAAGATGTCTGAACAAACAGTGGATTTAATTTTTTGAACAAAAGAATTTAAAAAAAAATTGAAACCTCAGTTGTAGTTGTTTCAGCAAAAATAAATGAAACCGAAGCAAGAATAATTGTGAAATGCATGACTAGAAAATATGAAAATATGATATATTTAGGCGTTTGCACTCATTTATATATCGATTCAATATATCCGGAAATATCATTGTCAACAAATGTTTTTTTCCTCGTTTGATTTTCCGCGCGGCTTATCATAATATTGGTGTTTTTTTCTTGACACTTTTAGCAGTGAGAACAATCGCCGATTAGACCACACACAGGAAGTTAAACTTGGCATATTTGCCCTCTTTTGATTCTCTCTTCGCCGAAATTTATTATGATTTATTTTTTTGTTGTTGTTCTTGTTTTTGTATCAGATGGAGGGCCGATTCATTTTCTATAATTAGAAAGAGAAAATTCTAGAAAAGTTTTATGCTGGAATTGAACGATGAAGATATACACTTGGAATTGGTCTAGCCATTCTTCCAGTGATTAGTTCTACAGTTGAAGTTCCGCCAGATTTTTGTTTTTCGTAGTCGATCATCTGACGCCAGAAACCAACGTTTGGAGATATTATTCGACGAGCCTGCAAGATATACATTTTTATTAACAAGGGAAGTTAAAAGGGTTTTGAAATTCACTTTTTATCAGAATTGGTAGGTATGAAGTTTGCAAGCTTCAGTATCTCTAGCCTGAATTAGAGGCTGATAACAGCAAAAAATTTCGAAAACCCACTAGAACTTCTGAGAATTCCGACAATTGCAATCTCATTTGTGTTAAGAGAGGATTGCTTCTCGAGTTGATACTTTTAACCATGATATTTATTCATTAAAAAAGAATAGCTTTCTCAAGTTTGATAAATTGAAGGGGGAACGAGTTAAGTAGTCGCATTGTGAAATATTGATTTTAGTTTTTGATGTTTCTCAAGTTCCCTTTCTAAATTTTTTAGTTAAGTTCGTTCAAAACTTTTATCTGATTCAAAAAGGAAATGCCCATTATGTACATCATATAAAAGGATATGAGATTTTTCTATGAACTTCCTATCCAATTTTATCAATTTTGAAGTGTCCTTTGAAGTTGAACAAAAAAATGAAAAAGTTCCTCAACCATAGTTAGCCTTGCAAGTTTAGTGAAACATGACTAATAGAAAAAAATAAACGCTCGGATCAAAAATAATTATAATGTAAATACATATTTTCAGTTTCAGTTTCAATTCTCCCCTTACCTGGTTAACAGTGTAGTAGGCTTGATCGAGTGGCAGATTCTCCGAAATCACCAAATACATAATAGTCAATGTTGCACTACGGCTTACACCAGCTCCGCAATAAATCACTGTTTTTCCTCCCTAGAGTAAATCACATTCAAAATGTTTCGAGAAAAAAAAACAAAAAAAAAACTATTTTACCTTGGCTTTAACTTCATCAACATATTGTACAACAGTCTCGAAATAATTTGAGATTTTTTGAATGATTGTGTCTTCAACTGGAACTTCAATTTTTTCCAATCCCGAAATCGGTTTGGAGTTCAGATTTGTCGCATCGACAGCATTTGTGATTCCATATTGTTTCAGCTGGAATTTTATAATGAGAAAAGGAAAATTGAATTAGGTTTTCTGGAATTTTTGAGAGAACAAACACAGGTCAACAAAAGTTTTGTTACTTTCTGACACTGAATAAAAATATCAATTTTACAGCCAAAAAAAATACTGGACCCACTGAGATTTTACCCTGAACTCAAAAACTAACCGCAGACGCTGTGATACATCCATATCCAGCCAAAAATAAATGTGGACGAATTTCACTGATCGATTTAAGTCCGCTATTCATGTTCTAAGTAATAATATAAATATTTTTCCGATAAAAATATGTCTCGTGACAAAGAAAATAAAGCACTTTCTCTCAACTAGATGAAAATTTTGAAAACGAAAACAGAAGCTTGTTGTTTTACACAACAATCGGCTTTTGATCTTCTCAATATTTCTCTCTGGAACAAAGATTTATCACCAACGAGAAAAAAAACTAGGAAAAAACTCCAGTTTTCAATTTTTCTCAAGTGTCAAAGGTAAATAACAAGTTACGTTAATTCACTGGTCTTCATTTTGTTGCGTTAACCAAAACCAAATCAAGATAAAAAATAAATAAATAAATAAATAGACAGATATACTTTTTTCACTAACCAAAACGTTTTTTGCGTGGCCGAAGCCGCAAAATCACAATGAAAAATGAGAAAAATAATGCGAAAGTAAAGTAAATAAAGTAAAGTAAAGTAAGATTTGTTAAAGGGATGTTGGGGGGATTTTTTGAAATTTCGAGATACAAAATACTCGCTTTTGGAAAATATAAATAAATGAAAAATAAACGATAGAGAAGAATATTTTCACCTAAAAAAGGTTCAAAATATTTGGATGAAGATGGCACGGAAAAAATAAATGTATAAATTATGGGATGTTTGATTGATTGACTTGTGGACTCCATGCTGGATCTCCGGCCGCCATCATATTTGATCGATCAGCTTTCTTTCCAAGGGCCATAAATCCATAAATGACGCCAGATGAGAAAACAGTTCCACTTCCAAGAACAGTGTTGAGTTCGAGACAAAGAAGAATTGGAATGATTCCCATGCTGAAATTTCAAAATTATTGAAAATTTTAAAACATGAAAGGAGCCTACAAACTTAAACCTTCAAAATTTAAGTAATGGTAAATTCATAAGAATGTCAAATATTTTCATAAAATTTACATTTTGAAGAAAATTCCCACTTTCTTAATTTTTCAAGTTTCAAGACATTTCATCAAAATAATCTACGCAATTCCTCAATTAGTCATAATCGAATTAAATACAAAAAAATGTATTCCATTTCTGGAATATGCATATTTCGCAATACATATTTCGTAACAAAATTTTTTTGAAACTTTTGAATTCTCACTTCAAATTCAGTAAAATCGTATTTTCAAAACATACCCTCCATAAATTGCGGCTTTTTGCCAAAGTTGACGAGATTCACTGAACCGTGCAAGTTTTTCGATGAAATCCACAAATTGACAGCAGAATGGCGCTTCCAATGCGATAACAACTGCTCCAAATGCCCTGGAAAATATAATACATGGATTTTGAAAAACAAATTAATTACGAATAGTAATCAATTCAAACTCACATTTGTAGTAAAACAGCAAGCATGCAAGTTGGTGACAAACTGATCAATCCCAAGACTCCAAAGAAGATTGACAAAAATCCACCAATAATAGCGACACCTTTTGCCAAAAATCGAACCCACCATGGAAATGCGGCATTTGGGTCATGCTCCGCTTGCATTTGCGTACTAACACCAGACGCTGCAGCTCCCATGATTCAACTCAACCCTGCTAGAAAGAAAAAGAATCAATCAATATCAAATATATTTCACAAGGAAAAAATAGGACGAGGAAAATACATGAAAACAGGTTACAGATTTTATCTAGTATCGATTCTTGCGAGAAGAAAATATATTATACTTCTTCTTTTTTTTGCATGAATATATATGTATGCATATACATCGAAAAATCGATTACTTTTCTTTTGAAGCTACATAAGAAAAGAGGGAATAAATAAATAAATATTTTAGAAAGAGCAAGAAAAGGGTCCCTTGGGCTGAGTAAAAATGTCAAGTATTATCAAAGTGCAATTGATGTGCAATTGACTTTTCTATGAATGATAAGATTGTTATAGTTTCTAGGTTTTTGTTGGAAAACAACACAATACGAAGACATAAAAAGTAAAAAGCACAAACGAAAAGGTCAAGAAAATTGACTATTTCCTCAATGAAACATAATTGTTTTTGAAACAAGAAAACTATATTTCAATAAAAATTGTCTTTCCCTTAACTCAATCAAAAATGTTTATGGTTTCACCATCACATCAATTAGTCATTTCCAAACATCTCCTAAAGTATCTCATTTGGGCTCGAATACTTTGTAGTCTATAACCTCCAGACAAAAAACTATATATAAAACTAAATAAATGTTGTAATAAATTTCGAAATACTAAAAGAAGAAAAATATGGTGAGAAAAAAGAAAAGCAGAGAAATTTCGCCATTTTTGGTTGTGTTGTACACAAAACAGCAAAAAAAGACTTGCAGAGAGCAAGAAAAACGCGTGAGATTAGTTAGAGGCATGCAAACGAAGCAAGAATGAGTGAGAAAAATAAAAGGGACGCGTAGCGAGACCTCTCGCTAAACAACATGCAGTGTCATTGTGTAGCTATGTTCACACATATTTGTTGTGTGTATGTTCGTTTATAAGTGAGATTCTCAGAGTTTCTGTGATAATAGTTTGTAGGGGAATTTTTTCCGGTTGAAAACACCTGAGGTTCCTTTTTGAGTTTTCGTAGGAAGTACTGTTGAAGTTTCACAACATTTCACACTAGTGAAAATTGGCAATCGGTGAGAATGAAAAAGTCTCTTTTTGAATTTCTCTGCGTCTCCATCACTCTCATCGATTGTCCTTTGACATGTGGTGGTTTGCGCGTGATGGTGTTTGCAGATTTTTCAAGGCATATTTTTTCTCTGAATGAAGGATTTTTTCTCTCAAATTAAATGAAAAATTGCATTTTTGTATTTTCCATATCTCATGGAGTTTTTTAGTTTGTCAAACTCTTCTTCGATCTGATGAGAAAATGTCTATTTACAACAATGGTTATACTAAAAATAGTTCAAATTATACTATTTTTAGGGTCAATTTGTTTTCAGTAAAAATTTTGTAAAATTGGAAAATTTTCCAGTTTTACAAATCATTTTTTTCGAGCCAAAATGCATCATTTCAGTCTGATTTTTTTTTACATACCTTGAGCATTTATTGATTGTTTTCTTTGAAATATACTCTTTTTCTTATCTACTTTTTTTCGGTCGAAATCTTTTGATCTTTTTCATGATATTTTAGTGCGTTATTAATCTATTACCAACTGCAAAATTTAAGATAACTTTATAATACGAACAAATGAGAAAATTCTAATATCGTTCAAAAAACATATAATTATTTTTTCAGGCGTTATATAAACTGTAATATTGAGGGTCAATTCATTTTTCAGGCAGTGTATACTATTTTTAATAAGATGCATGTCTATGTATTTCTATACTCACAATCAGAGCACTAATGTGATATAAGGTTCCTTGCAATATTTTCAAAAATATTCGCCATTGAAAAAACCTACTTGTGTTTTAATAATTTCAGAATGGAACAGAACGACGATTATCACCACAAGCAATTGAAGAAGCTGAAAAACGAGGATTGAATTCTTGACACATTTGAGATCAGGAAATTCGGCAAAATTGTCCTATCTCAAGTTGAGCACAAAATGAAGTATAGATTAGCCAAATTCCACCAAATTGATGTATTGCAAGTTATGGCATTCTGAAATTATTAAAACACAAGTAGGTTTTGTCAATGGGGAATATTTTGAAAAAAACTAGCAAGGAACCTTCTACCTTATTAACATAGGCAAAAAAACAAACAATTGTCTTCATTGCGGAATTTTCAAATTAGATCTACTCAAAAATCAGTGCGCGAAAAATTCATTTTGTTGTTTTTTCTTTTTATTTTCACTTTTTTTTTCGTTACTCGAACGAGAAATCCTGAAGTGATTCGCTACTGTTTCACCTGAAAGTCCGCAGTGAAAAATTGTGCCTTTCTGTTTGGTTTTTTCGCCGGTGTATTGATGGTCTGATTATAGAAATAGACATGCATCTAAATTAAAATAAAACACATAGCCTAACTCTGTTGAAAAAAAAACGATATTTTCGCGGGGATTTTCGTTTTGCAAATCGCGGAAACCTCGCGCGCAATCCACTGAGCTTCTCCGAAAGAGAGGCCCCTGAATGGGGTTTTCGTGTTTTTACGTTTTTTTCACCCTGTCAAAAATTTTGCCAATTTTTAAATCTGTGCGGCTGTTATGGCGCGCGCTTTGAGCACCACTCCGCGCCAATCTGAACATACTGACATTAAAAACCAAACATCAAAAAATGATGATAAAATTGACGAAAAAATGAGAATATTAAAACAAGAGTTTCTAATATACAGCTATATGTGAAAACTATACGACCCGAATTGTTTGGACCAAAATTGTGTGAAATTGATCTGAAATTTGACTGCCTAAAAGGTCTTATCAATATTTGAAGCGTTCAGAAAAACGTCGAAAAAATAAAATATTCAGAATATCATTCTGATCAGAGATAGCAGAAAATTGAATGAGTTCGGACAGAAAATTAGATTTCGGAGAAAATATACAAAAAATATACAATTTGCGAAATTTTCTTTTTATTTTGTTTTTGCCTTTTTTTCCTGCATTAAAGAAAAATATTAATTCTGTAACATTTTATTACAAAATATTAATCTGAGTGTTAGACCCATTTTGTTTTTAATGAAAATAGTTCATCTCGGATAATGAGTATTTCATTTGTTTTTTGTATTTTCTAAATCTATTTTTTTCCAGATGAAAAAAAAACTCAAATTATTGTGATTGAAATTCAACTAACCTTTTTCAGATGGACGATCGAAAGAGCTGATAACATAATCATTCTGTCGATGAAGGAGAAGTCGATTATGATGTATGATTGACAAAGATTGAAGAATTGAATGTGGTGATGATGAAGTGATGGCTGTTGCAAGCGTGACCATCATTCATGTCAATCCATTAATTCCATTCAGAATTCGATGGCATTCTCTACAATAACCTTTTCTCGCAATTCATTTTCCATGTTTGACAGCATTCTATAACAACAATGTGAGTTTTCTTATTTCTTCTGGAAAAATAGATTTAGAAAATTAAAAAAAAGATGAAGAACCTTTTTTAAAGATGAAATATTCTCATTAAAAACAAAATGGGTCTAACACGCATATTAATAATTTGTAATAAAATGTGACAGAATTAATGTTTTTCCTTAATGCAGGAAAAATGGAAAAAACAAAATAAAACAAAATTTTGCATAATTTATTTTTTCGTATTTTTTCTCCGAAATCTAATTTTCTGTCTGAACTCATTCAATTTTCTGCTATCTCTGATCAGAATAATATTCTGAATACTTTTTTTCGACGTTTTTCTGAATGCTTTAAATATTGATAAGACCTTTTGGCGCAGTCAATTTTCAGATCAATTTCACACAGCTTTGGCTCAAAACATTTAAGTCGTATTAGTCTCACATCAATATTTTCAGACTTTGATTTTTTGAACGATTTTCTAAACGAAATTTTAACAAAAAATCAATTGACTTGACGCCGACAATGCTTATCGATTCGGTGCAGACTCCATCCACATCAACACAAGCCCTGCTTTTTTCTGTTATATTTTGCGCTATTATTTTCAGTATTTTCAGCCTTTGATTTTTTTGAACGATTTTCTAAACAAAATTTCAGCGAACTTGCAGCATTGTGGCAGGAACGAGAACCTTCACTGGAGGATAGGTTTTGAAAGGTGAGAATGTTAGAAATACTGGGTAGATCGCAGAACAGGCCCCCACCCCAATTCAGGTCCCCACGTCTCAGGAGAAGCCCCCACTTTGGACCCACCCAGAGAAAAAATAATATTTTGGGGGCTTCATCTTGGGTGGTGGTCTATTATTCAGTGGGAAGGGTGGGGGGGCTCAACTAACTGTGGGGGCCTCATCTAAGATAATTTTAATGAGTGAGGGGGCCTCATCTACAGTCTCAGGTTAAATCTTAGATCAGCACCCCACTCATATCATTTTATGCCCCCAATTCGGAACTCTGTTTCAGGCCCCCAAAATCGTCTTAGTTCAGGCCCACATTTGGAAAAATTGTCTTAGTTGAGACCCGCACCGTTATTTTTTCCACAAATTATTTTTTGAAAATACCGCGCGGGGGCAGGTAACATAGTTCCGAATCGGGGGCATAAAATGATATGGGTGGGGGCCCGATCTGCGTTATAGCCGAAATACTTCCCTACTGACTGATCGCCTGTCAAACAGTAAGTGACCTGAAGTTGGCTCATAAATTCAATGAGTCACATGTTGTAAGAAAGTCCCATTTCATTCTTATAAGTTTCCAGACCTGTCATCCCAGATCAACTGAAACGTGCAAGTTTTTCAATGAAAATCACAAATTTACAGCATAATGGCACTCCCAAAACAATAACAACTGTTCCAAATGCCCTGCAATTTACTGAATTTTATTATTTACGATGAGTGGAAAAGTACATCGCGAGAAAAGTGATAAAAAAATACATTGACATATCACGGGTGCGGGTATCACTTTTTGACCAGTAGGGTGTTTGAATTTGAACTATTTACAAATGTTGATAATATTGAGAAAAAATAAGGAGTTGATGAATGGAGAAAAAGGAAGAAATAAAGTAAAAA